CTCTGAGTGTTAGGAATGCAGGCATGAGTCACTATTCCCAGTTTCAAGCCCCCCTTTAAACAAAATGTTCAGGTTCGGTCAGCTTGGAATTTTCCAGCCCTCTCTTGGTCATGCATCAAGTCTGTCTAAAGGAAAACAGAGCGCCAGGCGGTGGTGGCACATGCCTTTAATCCCAGCACTTGGGAGGCAGAGACAGGTGGATTTCTGAGTTTGAGGCCAGCCTGGTCTACAGAGTGAGTTCCAGGACAGCCAGGGCTACACAGAGAAACCCTGTCTCAAAAACAAACAAACAAACAAACAAACAAAAAACAAAAACAAAACAGAGCAAGATTCAAGTCCAAGGGCTGCCTGAGTGGCCCTGTGGTCTTGTATTGTCACCTGTCTGCACTCTGGCAGAAAACAGGTGACAGTGGCAACCGTCTCACAAGATTCCAGAAAAGATTATACAAAAATATGGGCAGGAAGCTCTAGGCCCACAAGAATGAGCCACATACACTTCATACTTCCTACAAGGGTTGAATTAATTCAGCATATGTTATTTTTAGCTTTAGAAGCAAGAGAACGTTTCTGACCTTGTCACTTAGTTCTGATAGTCCGTATCCTGTTGTGCCACCCGGTGTTGCTTTTTTGAGGACCACAGTGATATAGCCTACTCTGCCTTCTTTCCTCTAATGGGGAGTTGAGAGCCCTGAAGGGAGGAAGGGCAGCCTGGGAGTGGAAAGGATGAGAGGGAAGAGGCTGCGCTCCTGCACCTGCTCTCTTTGAGAACAAAGCCAGGCATGATGCAATCTGGCCGGGTGCAGCTGAGGCTGCCAGGCCTGGAGAGCGAAGTGGGTGTCAGTCGGGGAAGGTGGCAGGCACCAAAGTGTACACAGGTGTCCCTGGACGCCTGACTCGGGATTCACAGCCCATCCTGAGCCCTGCCCCCTTCATTTGACTACCGGATCCCTCCTGAAGCTCTTCACTTTCCTGGCCCCTCCCCAAATCCTTGCATCTGCCTCCCAGGCAGAAGGCCTGAAATGACGCAATGAAGACCTCAGTACAAGCCGCTGTCTCCCCTAGGCGAAGGCTAGACAAGAGACCCAGGAGTTGCACAGGCACTATTAATTGGCCTTCCCCAGCAGGCCTCTGGTGCCTGCTGTCTCTTGTCATCCTTGAGACAAGAGGGTAAATCCTCCAGAGGAGGAGGGGAGGTTGGGGGAGACCCAAGGGTCTGCACAGAACAACACATATTTAGAGAATTACACGGAACCCTAAGATGACACCAAGCCGGGCAGGGTCCCAGAATTGCCCCCCGGGAAATGGGGGGGGGGCTGTGAGGGTGGCACCCACCACGGGGTAGGGTTGTCAGTCTCAGTTCTATATATCGCCAGTGAGTCTAAAAAACACGGCTCTTCCTGCATCTTAGAAAGGGATTTAATCCCTTGCGTCAGGGAGAGAATTCGGACGAGCTGGGGTCCCCAACTAGCTAAGGAGAAATCCGGCCATAAAAGAGGACTGGATGGAGATGCTGTTTGTGAATATCCCAGCTTCACCCATCCCAGAGTGCAGCTGGGTGGCCTGGCTCAGAGCAGCCACTAGGTGGCAGAAAAAGCTCGAAGACTCACTCGGCTACGCCCACTCTTCTTCCCTCGCAACCTCGCCGTCGCCCCACAACTCCCGCCGCGACTTTCCGCCTCCACGCCCCCAGTCCAAGCCCCAGAACCAGGTGACGCGAAGTTCCTGTTCGGCATCCAGTAGGACGTCGCCTCGGAATTCCCTTCCCTGTCGAGGGCTCACTGCCCACTTCAGTTTGGCCAACCACAGCCTGGATTGTTACAGGTAGACCCTGGCATCCACTAGGTGCATCAGAGAAGGGCGTGCCCTGCCTCTCTCTGACTACCTGGGAAAAACAACCCGGTGTCAGGGGTTCAGGGGTTGGCAGTATGATTGCAGCCTAGAGCTCCTGTCCAGCCTGAGACCTGTCTTGCCACACTCCGCTTCCTCTCTTCCAGCCTCCTCACACATGCTGGGCTCTCCTCTGGTCAGAAGGGCCCAGAACCCTTCCTGTGCTTGCTTCCAGTTCAACATGATTTCCATTCCAGCTCCATTCTCTCTCGGTCTGACTTGTACTCTGTGGGATGTGTGTGTGTGCTGGCGTGCTGGGGAGGCGGGGTGGCGTCAGAGGGGAATTTTCAGAAGTCAGTTTTCTCCTTTAAGTCATGTGGGCTCCAGGTACCAGGTCCACCAAGTCCGCCATATAGATTCCAAGGATTGAACTCAGGTTGCCTTGGCAACAAGTACCTTTACCTGCTAAACCTTTTCACAGGCCCTTACATGTGGTTTTAGGAGGTTTGGTTTGGGGGGGGGTGGGGTATTTTTTAGATAGGAAGTCACTGTGTCACTGTGTAGCTCTGGTTGGTCTTCAACTCACAGAGACCTCTGCATTCTGAGTGCTAGGATTAAAGGCATGCGCCACTATGCCTGGCTAGAAGGAATTTCATTTTTTAAGATTTATGTATATGAATGTTTATCTGCATGTATGTACCTATACCAGCTGTGTCTGGTGTCCATGGAGGCCAGAAGAATCAGACACCCTGGAACTAGAGTTATAGATGGCTGAGAGCTACCATTTGGGTGCTGAGAACCCAAACCTAGGTCCTCTGCAAAAACAAGTGCTGTCGGCCACTGAGCCATCTTTCCAGCCCCTAGAATTTTATTTATTTATTTATTTATTTATTTTTGGAAAGAATGGAGGGAGGAAACAGGAGACAATACCTCTTGAATTGCTGAAACTGTTTGGATAAAAAGTGGAATACCAGGGCCAGAGAGATGGCTCAGAGGTTAAGAGCACTGATTGCTCTTCCAGAGGTCCTGAGTTCAATTCCCAGCAGCCACATGGTGGCTCACAGCCATCTGTAATGAGATCTGATGCCATTTTCTGGTGTGTCTGAAGACAGCTACAGTGTACTTGTCACATACAATGAAAAAAAAGAAGTGGAATACCTGGCCAGGTGGTGATGGTGCACACCTTCATGGAGGCAGAAGCAGGCAGATATGAGTTCGAGACCAGCCTGGCCTATAGAGCAAGTCCCAGGACAGCCAGGACTACATGGAGATTCCTAGAGGTCCCTCTGATTAATCTGCAGAAGCAGCTTCCCAGAAAACTCAGCAGGAAACCTGCAGACAGTTTCTAGGTGGCACACTGGCCCCTGAAGCAGGAAGCAGAGTAAGAGGGAGAGGGCAGGTAGGGATTAAAGTGGTTCCCAGAACACACCCAGGGTATTAAGAAAAGCAACAGGCCTTGTCCAAGAGCTGGGAGGGCAAAGCTGAAAGAGCAGCAAGGAAGCCTCACAGCCAGCGTCACCAGGATGGCACTGCCAGTGAAATGTGCCAGTCCAGACTGTATGTACCACTGCCCATCTAGACAGGAAGGCTATCGGGAATGCTACTGCACTTCCAAGGGCAGCTCTGGGCAGTGGAAAATTAGAAATTTTCCAATACCCCTGCTTTAGAGACAGTACTGGTGTCTCTAAAGAAGGACCCCATGCCTGACCGAGGGTGAAGAGTCAGGGGAGAGAGTAAAAACAAAGCCAAGTAACAGATCATTTCTAAACATTTTTATTTCAAATCTCTTTTCATCCCTCCCCAAAAAGACATGGGTCGGTACAGCAATCATAAAAAGGAGATACAAACACAAGAGCCAAATGTCTCCCGCACTGACACTTACAAAAAACCGGGAATTATACACAGAATTTCCAAACAGGACCTGCAGCAGCTACTAATGTCCCTTTACAAGAGTCACACATGCCTATTAGTACAGTATTTACAGACACCCCACTCTGAAACTAATCTACAGGGACATCCCAACACCCACCCCTCTATGCCCAGAAAAATACCAAAACACACCCAAAGTGCATTTATTTTGTTTATATCAAAACATCTTTCCCTCTCCCCATCCCGCCCCAGACCCACCCCCATTTAAGATTGGCCTGCAAGTCTATTTTAACCATTTAGTTATTTTTATACTTTATGAAAATAAATTATACAGCAACTATTTTAATAAATTAAGCACAAAAAGGGAGAATAAAGGAGGGAAACTAAATGGGAAGACAAAAGCCAGGCCACACTTTGGCTTGGAGGGCACGGGTGGCTAAGCAGGACAGAGTGGTAGTGGGGTATGGCTCCCCGGTGGAGAAGAACCCCCAACCACTGAGTCCAGAATGACACCCCTCAGCACGGAGTTTCTGAAAACCCGCCAGAATGCACAGCAGTACCCGTGCCATGCAGCACCAGTGCAGGCATCCTGATGTCTAGCCTGCCCAGAGCGGTGCCTGGATCTTGCCTGTCCCTCTTGGGAGCACCAGGGATGGAGGAGTGGTCAGATCAGCCCACTGTCCACTGAGCACAGCAAGTGGGCTGAAGAAGAGTATCTTGTTTTCCCTATCTGTCTCCAGGAGCAGCTGCCGTCGCAGTCCAGCTGCGATCCAATGTTGCTGTCTGCCCGGCTGCTGGTCTGCCCCTTGATGCCTCTTGGCACTATGAGGAGGGATCCGTGGGGCAGGGAGCAACTCCAGGGACCCTCTAAAACCCTCTCAAGATGAAATGGAGTGAAAGCATGTCACAAACTCAGCATGCAGGATTGGCTTTCTGGGAGGTAGATGAAGTGGGAAGGGTCAGGACAAACAAAGGACAGAAAAGACAGAGGGACACCAGAAGAAACTAGGTGACCCCTACCCAGGACACCAGGAAGCAATGAAAGATCAAGGACACATGAAACCTGCATGTAGAGAAAGGTCCCTTTCTCTGGCAGATTACAGAATCAATATTCTATTTTCAACTGCAGTACCACGTCCCCAGAGCCCTCTCAGTGATTCAACCCAATCTCACTCCCAAAATGTTCTCCATTTTTTCAAGGAGGGGCCCCCTGTCACATGTTCTGAGCATGAGGGCCCCAATGCCAAACAGATGGACCGTGGGGGACTTGCAGACATGACTCTTGTGGCCCAATAATTCTACAGCAATCATAATGGGCACACCTTTCTTTTTTTTTTTTTTTTCTTTTTTAATAAAAAAGGTTTTACTCCCCAGGAGCAAATAAATCATTTTGAACTACTGATAAACACTGCTGCAGTGAAAAGAAAGATGGCTACATGTATGCAATAGCACAGATTCAGTGTAAGGACAGCTGTGTTGATGACTACAAAGAAAAACCATGGATCCACTCCCCTCTCCCCACAAACCAAACCAAGAGGATTCCCATAGGGAAAATGTCTAACTCGAAGCTCCTCCCTCACACAGTGGGCATGCCATTCTCTTAAAGTGGAAAACAAATCCTAGTCCCCCGCTAGTGGAGATGTTCCCATCACCCCAACCACAGACAAGACTTAGACAAATGAGGGTACACGCTCGCTCAGGCAGAATTCTAGACCTGTGGTGGCTCTTTCCATCTCACTCTTGGGCTCAAAGGTAAGAGAAAAGCAACAAGGAAGAGAAGGAAGCTCTTATCTGGGCAAGTTTTTCTTGTCCCTACTTCCCATCGGGTTAGGGGCTTCAAGCAGGCCATGCCCTCCTAGGAGCACGAGGCAAGGCTGAAAGGGTGGCTTCCTGGGGCTATACTCTGATCTATTTCCTAGTCCTCAGGGGACGTGCATCAGAGGGTATGTGTAGCCATCCCATCACTTCCTGCTTGGCCTCAGAGGCTTAGTCCAAGTGACAGTGGGACAGGTAAAACAGGAGCTATGAGACACTTGCAAGCCCTTGTTTTCAAGAGGATAGCTCTGTTACCCACATTTACTTCACCTTGGTACTAAGCCATGATCAAATCAGGACAGTTGGACCCACAGCCAAGCTCCTGCTCCCCCATGCCTAAACTGCCAGCACAGACACACATTTCAAGTAACTACAGGTTGCAGCAGTAGTTGTCACTAGCTTATACCAACATACCCGTCTTGAGGCAGGTTACAGTAGATCAGTATATAACGGGTGAAGGTTATACAGGCTGCATCTGAGAGTAGTGACACCTCCAACCACAACTCAGAAAACCACAGCAGGTCTCTAGACGTGACTGCCTTTCCCAGTTTGTGACTGGCACATAACCACCAAGGACAAGTGGAGTTCCCTCTGAGGACTGCATTTCCATTAGCACTGCCCCACCATCAACAAAAGACGAAGGCCAAGGCCTTCTGGCCTTCTCCCTTCTCCAGCCTACAGTACAGTCAGTCAACAGGCTCAACGGCTCTCCCTAGTCGTTCCTTCCCTTCTAACAAGGCCTCCTGGCTGCCAGGCCTCCTAGAGCTATCTCCCACACTGCTGTTTTGCAGCCCATCCTGCTGAGGAAGGGTCAGACCAGTTGTGACTGGAACATTGAAGCTCCGAAGTACAGCGCCCCACACTTTCCCAGGACAGAAAGGGTGAGGCTGCCATGCTCTGGAGCACATCTAGTTTGCACCCGAGTATAGAAATTTTCCATGGGTAACCCCAGGACCAGAGAGGTGTCTGCTGACTGCTGGCTTTGCCTTCCACCACACCCTCACTGCCCCTAGCCTTCAGAGCTGTCCAACGACTGGGAAGTTTCCATCTAGACCTTTATGGTCAAGTAGGACTCTGCTGTTGATCTAAGGCAGCTGCACACTTGCCACACATTTCTGCTCTGTCTGTCCTGAGTCTGTCAGTGTCCTCGCCTACAACTCAAAGCCTTACACCAGAGCTTCCCCAACCCATCTGGTCTACCCCGATCATGCCCACTTGGTCTTTAAAGATGGGCCTTGATTTTCTGCCGCAACGAGTAACGCTCCAATTCCTTCCTGGGCAACAGTCCCTTTACAGTCCCCTCAGGGCCGGGGTCTTCTACCTCATGTCCTTTCACAATACCTAGCTCAGAGCCCTCAAACAATGCAAACACGGGCTGAAAACAAATTTTTATATCATGGGTGGCCGAAATGGGAGAAAGTCTCTCTCAACTGCAAATATTAACCACTTGAGGACTCTATGGACTCTACAGTTTGGGCTCCATTATAGAATGGCCCTACTACAGGACGGCAAGTGGCCTGTACCCTCCAGAGGCAGAACTTACAGGTGCCAATCTCTGAATCATCATCTTAGGATGATCATGAGGCGAGTCAGCACTGAGCTGGACTATTGCACAGCCAGCTGAGAAAGCACATTTCTGTGTTTAGTTCAAGGAGGAGGAAGGTGACTCCATGCACAGTGGGAGCCCACAGGTCACTTTCCAGATAAGACAATTTTCTAAGTTACCTAGACACAGGGCTTCACCCACACCATCAGGAACCCCAAGACTGACGATCTTTACTTTGTCATCTGAGGCAGACACAGGCAGAGGGAACTAAAAAGGCCATCATATGGAATACTACATGGTTAAGTGTAATGAAGACCCAACAGCTCCACTTTCCATCTTGAGTAGCCCTGTAGGACAGCAAACTTATGTGGCCCATGGCTGGACGTGGCCAGCTTCAGACACAGACTACTCAAGCATCAAAGTTCTTCCCTCCCTCCACATCCATCTGAAAGGCAACTTTCAAACTAGCATCTGACAGGTTCCCAGTGATGAAAGGCAACGGGGTCTGACTCAGGAAATGTGCGGGTTTCGAGAATGAACATGGAGAAATGAAGAAGCCCTTTGCCACCTTCACCTCAGGGGTGGGATGACAACACTGATAAGCCTATGATCATGAGACGCCATGCCTTTTCTGCACTACAGAAATCCCGTTAAGGCTGAGACACACGGGCTCCTCTAGGAGCACAGTAGCTGTTTCTCACTTCCTCCACACTTCCTCTCACTAGCTGACAGACGGGGTAACAATGACTCCTTAGCTGTGGGTATGCTTTGCCACAAAGAATCTGGAAGCATGCTCCAGGCGTGGGGTTGCTGATAGTCGGGGTGAGCCCTGGCAGCCCAGGACTGAAGGTCTAAACTCCCACGTGAAGAGAAACACCACTGCCTGCACAGCTGGCAGAAGCAATAGAAGCACTGGATTGACCAAAGTGGAATCCACAGTTCCTGAGGGGAAGGGGCTGAGGAGAGGGAGAACTGGATTTGCCTCAGGTCACTGAGCTTAAGGAATTTAGTCAACAAAATGCACACCAATTTCATAAGAGAGAGTTCTGCAATCAGGGCTGTCAACCTTGGAAGGAAAGCAGAGGGAGCAAGCACTTCCTCAGCAAACAGAGCTAGCAGTCCCTTTCACTCACCACCCTCTCTCCTCTCCTGCGGAAGCTGGAGAGGAGACTCAGACACCTTTCCCAGAAACTTCCAGTCTCATTCTTCTGTACTTCTCTGGCTTCCCCCGCCCTTCCTCCAGGATCATGGAAAAGAGCTTCAATACTGCCTTTGGCGCCAGCTGAACAAGCAGCCCTCCTCGGCACTCCCCTGACCTGCTCATCCCTAACACCACCTTCAATCCAAAGGGTATAGACTCCAGCTGCCTTCCACTGAGAAATGTAAATACTAAAACATAACTTCTGAAAAGAAACAGTGTTAAGACTTCTTCCAGTTTTCCAAGGAGCTCATCCAGCCCTGGGGTTCATGGGGTTGGGGAATGGGGAGCCCCACTTGGAGGATGGTTGTGTGCTTCTTCCAAGCCCCAGGGATACAGGGGAACCAAAGTCTGTGCCAGGAATCACAACCCGCTCTTCCCTTTCTGCCAGAGTCTTCTTTTGTGGTAGCTTCATTTGCTTCTTCAAACTGGAGCCTGGCGATCAAATGCCTAGGTAAAAGGGAAAGAAAATAAAACAGTTCAAATAGTAGTAGACCCACAGGGAGGGAAGAAAGAACCGACTAGCCACTGCGGGTGGGAGAAGATCAGCTCCAAAGCATAACTGCCGCTGGACAACCACATGCTTCCACAGATACTGAACAGCAGGACATGTGCCAGTTGCCTGTTCATTTTGGTCCTTGTTCTATCTTACAAAGTCACAAAGAACATAAATACTCTTCCATGGGGAAATCTCCTAAGGACTTTTCTCAGCTGCCCCGAGTTAGCATATGTATTTTCAGTCCAATAGTGCCCTCCCATACGATGCTGTTTGCAGCCCTGACCCAAGGCCTTCTGAATGTGCTCCTACTGATGTGGGCTTCCTCCAGGACACAGCACTCACGGAACCACGCTCTAATGGAAGTAGGGAGCCAACGGTCAGCGCGGAGGCTAAGAGCCCTCACCACCTTTGCAGAGGAACTGGGTGTGGTTCCCAGCACCCAGAAAATGTCCTATGAAGCCCTGTAGCTGGTTCCAGAGGACCCAGTGCCCTCTTCTGGCCTCTTCAGGCTCCTGGATGGATGGGTGTACATTAAATCACGAAGGCACAGACACACATACATATCCTGCACGCATGGTGTACATTAAATCACGAAGGCACAGACACACACACACACATGCAGAGACAGAGACTTTAGAAAGGAGCATGAGCCAGTAGATGCACCTTCTAGTTCCCTACTACCTCCCTCCCATCATGATCGCTTTGTTTTTGAGACAGGATCTTGGTATAAAAAGCAGGGTGGCAAAGTGGCGCCTAACCTTTAATTCCAGGACTCAAAAGGCAGAGGTAGAGAGGTCTTTATGAGTTCCAAGCCAGCCAGAGCTACATAGATCCTGCTCTCATCTCTAAAAGAAAAGTTTTTTGGGCTGGTGAGATGGCTCAGTGACTAAAGATGCCTGCTCCAAAGCCCAGGGTGGCTCCACAGGAACAGAGATGGCTGTTCAGAGCACTGCTCTGGTGGGTCACAAGTACCTGCAACTCTAGCTCCAGGGAGGCTGACTCCCTTCTCAGGCCTTCCAAGGCCCCACACTCAAGTCTACACACTCCCACACAATAACATAATAAAACCATTAAGAAGAAGAAGAAGAGGAGGAGGAGGAGGAGGAGGAGGAAGAGAAGAAGGAGGAGGAAGAGGAAAAGGAAACACCCTACTACTTTTATCTTTTGAGGTGTTGTGATTACAGACATGTGTCATCAAACCCAGCTCCTGTCCTAACGTTCTATGTAAAACCACACAGGAGAAATCTTCCTATATGTTTAAGTCCTTGGATATGCTAGGAACCACTTCCAAGGCACACAACTTGCATGTAACTGAAGATCTGAACAGTTTTACATCCAGTTTGGAATCTTTCAGTCAGAGCTCGGCAGCGTTCCAGAGCCATCGTTCCTTGGTCTCTGGCTGTCCCTCTGCCCTTGTTAACAGTCACTAGTATGGTCCATCTGCTTTCCCCTTACAGCACAGGATCTACGACTCCCAGGGCCCAGAGGAGACACAGGAAATTTACCTAACCTAAGAGAACAAATGGTGGGCGGGCTGGAGAGGATGCTTAGCCTTTGAGAACACTGGCTACTCTTCCCAGCATGAGCATGGCAGTTCACAACTATCTGTAACCCAGTTCCAGGAAATTCGATGCCCTCTTCTGGCCTCCATGGGCAGTTGCAATGGTACACAGATACACACAGGCAAAATACCTGTATGCATAAAAGAGTTGTTTTTGTTTTAAAAAAAAAGAAAGAAAGCATGGAGCACAGCAACTCCCTAGCTGTCCCACGCCTTTGGAAGTAGAGCAACGGGGCCAGGAAAGCAGAGCTTCCACTCCACTAGACTGCTGCTCCTGTAGCTGTGTGTGTCAACAGGACCAAGGACACGAGAGAAGCACAAGTAGTCAGTGCTTAGAAACAAGGTCCAGAATAAGGGGACACAGTGCTAACACGGACCTGGCATGACACCGGCATGGAAGTGAGCATGACCTTGTAGCTGGCACAGCCACAGACTCCAGCTCCTCAATGCTGCTCCTGTCTCAGGTCAACCTTTAAATGGTCACTTGAGGACTAACTACGCCAGGTATGGTAGTGTTTTTTAATCCCAGAGGTTGGGAAACAGAAGCAAACAAAGCTCTGTGAGTTTGAAGCCAACTTGAATACCAGACCAGCCAAAGTTACATAGTGAGAATCTATCTCAAAAAACAAAAACAAGGGCTGGAGAGATGGCTCAGCGGTCAAGCGCTCTTCCAGACGGCTCTTCCAGAGGTCCCGAGTTCAATTCCCAGCTACCACATGATGGCTCACAACCATCTGTAATTGGATCTGATGCCCTCTTCTGGTGTGTCTGAAGACAACTACAGTGTACTCATATACATAAAATAAATCTTAAAAAAAAAAAGACCCAAAGCAAAACAAAAACTAATTAGATCAGGCGTGGTGTACAGTGACACAGTGACACTCTAGCTAGAGTCAAAACAGAGATGCAGTGTACATTTCATGTACTGTATAGAACCTCAATTTGGTTTTGTGGATCTGACTTTTCTTGACTATATAGGCGCCTGTGCTTATATATGCACACACATACACCAACACAAAACTAAAAACAGAACAAAACAAAAACTTAGAAAACAAAAACTAGCTAGGCTCTGCCAGCACAGAGGTGTGGTGATGTATGCTTGCAACCCCAGGACGTAGGAGATGCAGGCAGGACAATCAGGAGCTCATCAGATGCTGTCAAACATAAACCAACAGAGAGAGTTGCATGGTGGCTCCAGAAGTGGTTTCAGGCATTGCCTGGAGAGTCTGGTGACTTGAGTTTGATGGCCAGAATCCACGTACAAGTGGACGGAGCGAACTGACTCCGAGGCCGTCCTGACCTCCACATTCACACACCACTGCAACGACAGTGACAGAATTCCCAACTCAGACCAGTCTCAGGACAAACTACAGACCCGAGTAGGCCTCAGCAGGGCAGGGGGGAGATGCCTCTGACTTGGACAATTTAATTCCTCATTCTTTTCATTTTTTATTACGTGCATGTGTCTGTGTGCATTTGTACACGAGTACAGTGCCTTCAGACACCAGGAAAGAGTGCTGAGTCCCCGAGTTAACAGAAGGCTGTAAGATGCTACACATGGATGCTGAGCATGAACTCAGGTCCTGGGCAAAAGCAGTGTGTGCTCTTCCCTGCTGCTGAGCCCTTCTCCAGATACTATTCATTCATTCATTCTCCCCCACCCCTCTCTCTTCCTTTCTCTTCCTTCCTCTCTCCCCCCACCCCATTTTGTTTTTGTGGTGTGGGGGATGGTTGAAACAGGGTCTCATGAAGCTGACTTCAAACTTGCTATGGTGCTAAGGCCAACCTTGAATTCTGATCCTATGGCCTCCACTTCCTCAATTCGGGGATTACAGGTGTGTGCCACCATCCCCAGTCTAAGTTTTCTTTTGAACATTTCCTTTGCAGTGGCTGAGAAAAGGAAGGCTGCTTTTTCTCGTCCCCATCTCAAGCTGTGAGCCTTGGAGAAACTCTTACTGCAGTGCTCGCCTTTTGAAAACAAAGGCGTTCATTAGTCCTTTAAGTTCATCTCCCCACTGGGATCTTGTTTTCTGTATCATACATGCAGTATCCTAAACAGCCAAAGCAAATGTGCAGTCACCTGTGTCTGCCTTACTCATGCTCAGTGAGAAGCTTGCACCACAGTCACCTGTGTCTGCCTTACTCATCCTCAGTGAGAAGCTTGCACACTGCTTATCGATGTCCTGAGTTCATGGTTCTCTTTGCTGCCAACCCCCCAAGTGCTAGGATCATGGGTCCCATGGATCATGTTCAGCTTGGTAAAGAAAAGAATATTTTTTAGTAGTAACTAGGTACCAAACCTTAGGATCTCATGAGCGCTAGGCAAGTAGTGTCCTACTGAAATCTATCCCCAGCTCTCTTTTTACTTTTTACTCTGAGATAGGGTCTGACTAATAAATGAATGGAATCCACTCTGTAGCTCAGAAAAGCTTGGCCTTGCAAATAAATACTCTGTAAGGCTGCAGTTCTCAAACTGTGGGTTGTGACCTCTATCTCCAGAAATATTTTTATCATGATTCTTAACAGTAACAAATTTACAATTATGAAGCAGCAACAAACTGATGTTACGGTCAGTGGTCAGCAGAGCATCCTGAGAAACTGTGTTACGGGCTGTAGCACTGGGAAGGTCGAGAACCACTGGTTTAAAGCCTCCATGACTGCTGTGTTTTTCTTCAAATGAAGTGATGTACCTACTACGGAATCAATTACAGACAAGTCTGTGAGTCAGGAAGTGACCTAGTGCCCAGGCTTGACAAAGAGGCGGGGGTTCCTACCTTCATGTTGACCAGCAGGGCTCTAGCTGCTACGTGGAAGGCTCCATCTCTTGTTTCTGTTTGGAAATGAGCTGCGCTTCCTTTAGGGACAGGTACACCTCTTCCTGAGGATCATAGTAGTAGAACTTTCGAATGTAAGAGATCAGAGGTCTGTGAAAAACAAGGAGACAGGGAGTACATCATTTAGTGACATTTCTCAGAACTGTGACTGCTGTTTCCTTTAAGAAGCCATCTCATGCCGGGCGGTGGTGGCGCACGCCTTTAATCCCAGCACTTGGGAGGCAGAGACAGGTGGATTTCTGAGTTCGAGGCCAGCCTGGTCTACAGAGTGAGTTCCAGGACAGCCAGGGCTACACAGAAAAACCCTGTCTCGAAAAACCAAAAACCAAAAAACAAAAAAAAAAAAAAAAAAAAGAAGCCATCTCATGCTGAGCCCTCCTCCCTTCTCCATCCTGTATGCTGCATGACTCCTGAGCAGCCTCTGCCAACGTGACAGACTTCCCACCCTCCATCCTTACACACTTGTGTCTCTCCCTCTACTGCAGCACACTCTGCCCACGGCCTGCAGAGGGAGCTGCAATGTCGCAGCCCTAGAGTTAAGTGCTAAGACAAAGGTTTTCTGCCAGGCTTTGCCTCTGGGAGCAACTTGCAAGCTCCAAAGGCACTTCTATTTCTAGTTCACCCATCCCCACCCTAAACCCTGCCAACCCCATTGTACTTAGGCAGTGGCAGATCCGGGATATGATCTATTCGGACAAGCTGCCGGATCCGGAATCTGCAAAGATGCTGGAGGGACTTGACATTGCTGAATCTGGACACTGGATAGAGCAGCTGTACTGGAGTTGGTGGCAGTCCTTCAAGAATAAAACCAAAGGAAAATACTCAGAATAATGAAGCTAACTACAGCTCCCGGAGGAAGAGCTCTGGGGTGTCATGGGGCTACTTTGGAGTCCTGTATAGACTCTGTGCTAAAGCCCCTCACAAAGTGCTGTTGATAGTCATTTGTGAGAGCACCGCTACCATATTTTACTCAAGGGAATTTTGTGTCCTCTGATAACCTCCCCAGCAACAATTTGGTTTATTTTTTTCCATACAGGGTCTTGTTACATAGCATAGCATTTCATGAAACTCACTACACTACGTAGACAGGCTAGCCTCCACCTAAAGCGATCCCCTTGCCTTAGTCTCCTGAGAACTGGGACCATAGATGTTGAGCCCCAACACTTGGCTTCCAGAATCACTCTTAATTGTGGAGAATAACCCAATGAACAAGACCAAACTAGAGACTGCTTAGAGCCAAGGAATCAAACCCAAGCCTAAGGTTCTCAGGGAAGGACAATAACCTAAAGCCTCCCTGTTGGCAATGAGAGACACTTGTTCAGATTTATCTAGCAGTGTCTTAAAGATCAGGGCTCAGGATGTTCAGAAGTGCAGTGGTTTGAATAGCTGTTATTACCAGACAGGGTCAGGTGTTAAAAGGTCAGTCCTCTCTATGGCAATATTGGTACAGAACATTCAAGCTCTTAAAGGCCCCAGAACATTTCAGCTAGTGAGCAGGAAGGGCAGGTCGATGGCGGAGCTGGCATCAAGGCTGCCACTCCTGCACCTGTCTATGCGGGCCGGGCCAGCCTGGTACTTGTCTTCCCTCATTACTCTCTCTCTACTACGGGAGCTTAGGCTGGGTTACAGGAACAAGAATGATCTTGCTTCTGAAAGACAACTATAGCAGCTTGCACAGGCTGGGCCTAGTGTAACAGTGCTCAAGTGCCTGCTCATGTGTGCCTCCAAGCAAACACCCCTACATGGATCAGAGCTCCTGTGCTAGGGAAGCCCAACCTTCCCACCCCCCAATTAATGTCACAGAACAAACAGCCACCAAGGATGGCCAGGACTAAAACACATTCAAATGAACTAACAATGTTCTGGTTTCCACAAATGAAGGGACCATGGAAAGTAAGAGAAGCAAACTAAAAGGACTGAGAAGTGGGCTGGAGAGATGGCTCAGCAGTTAAGAGAACTGACTGCTCTTCCAGAGGTCCTGAGTTCAATTTCCAGCAACCACATGGTGCTTCACAACCATCTGTAATGGGATCCGATGCCCTCTTCTGGTATGTCTGAAGGACAGTGTACTCACATTTGGTTTTTTTCAAGATAGCATTTTTTCTGTGTAGCCCTGGCTCCCCTGGAACTTGCTCTGTAGACCAGGCTCCAGGCTGGATTTGAACTCACAGATCCACCTGCTTTTGCCTCCTGAGTGCTGGGACTAAAGGTGTGTGATGCCACACCCAGTTAGGAATTATTTTCTTAGCCATTGTCCTATCCCAAGAAATACTACAAACACAACTGGTTAGAAAATAAAATTCTACCATTTCTGGGGTTTCAAACAGTTTTAAAATTTTTGATTGAAGGCCTGAGGAAAAAGGGAAGTGAAGCTTGTAGGTTGTCTGCAAAAGCCATGTCACTGTTTTTGACAGCTGACATTCTCCAAGAGACAGTCGGTCACAAAACAGCCACACTGCACTGTTAGCAAACAAGAAAACTTTTCTGTTTACCTTAAGAAACATTTAACTCAAAACCATACTTAAAGAAATGTCCCTACCTCCACTCCATACATGAAGACACTAGGTACCTTTGCATTCAGAAGACCTGCTCCAAGCACCAGAGCACAGCACTGGAAACCTCTGAGGAAATTCCCTTGTTAGGTGACTCTGAGCACGGGCCTGCTGATAAAGATGACCCATGACAACCAGTACTGACTGACTTATGTATGACCAACTTCTGCTAGACACCTCACCAGTCAGACTAAGGCTCCTATTCTGAAAGCCTTCACTCTTCTTCCCCCATCCAGGTGGTTTTTTCTTAACTTAAGTTTTAGTTTTTAGTGTGTGGTCTATGTATGTGTCCATGCGCGCGTGTGCGTGCATGTCTGTGTGTATGCGTGTCTGTGTGTATGCGTGTCTACGGCCCCCACTCCTAGGAGGCCAGAGGTGAATGTCAGATCCCGTGGAGCTGGAGGTACAAGCATTTGTGAGCCACTGGGAAGAGAAACCTCTAAAGAACAACAAATACTTTTTTTTAAAAAATTTATGATGTATATGAGTGCTCTGTCTGCATGTTACACCTGCAGGTCAAAAGACGGGCATCAGATCCCATCTTAGACGGTTGTGAGCCACCATGTGGATTCTGGGAACTGATCTCAGTCAGAACCTCTGGAAGAACAGCTCTTAACCTCTGAGCCACCTCTCCAGCCCCACAACAAACACTCTTAAACTACTCAGCCATCACTCCGGCCCCTTTCTTTAAGTGTCTTTGTTTTTGAGATGAGGTCTCACATAGTCCAGGCTGGGCTCCTTCTGCCCCTACCTCCCAAGCGCTGGAAAGTAAGCAAGCTAGGTAGCTTGAGGGACGGAGGAAGAAAGGAGGGTGGGAGGGAGGGAGGGAGGGAGGGAGGAAGGGGAAAAAAGGAGGGAGGCATGGGAGAAGGGACAGGATCAATGAAAGATCATTAACACAAGATAGTCAGTGTTTTAAAGAGAAAGGATTTTCTTCCGCCCAGTTCCCTTTGCCTAATCCTACGGCCATGTAGAATGAGACGGCAATGCAGAGACCAGAGGAGGGTGCCACAAAAACTTCTGAATTTCAAAGGATATCACCAGGGAAGGAAACCACAGCTGGAACCCAGGCATGGCAATGCACCGACTCAGGACACAGAGGTAGGTTTGTCTTGAGCTGGAGGCCAGCACAGCCTATCCAGTGAGGCCCTGATATAAATCAAATCAATCAAGCCAGGCGGTGGAGGCACATGCCTTTAATCACAGCCCTCCTCAGGCAGAGGCAGGAGAATCTCTGAGTTTGAGGCCAGCCTGGTCTACAGAGTGAGTTCCAGGACAGCTAGGACTACACAAAGAAACCCTATATGGAAAACAAACAAACAAAAAATAAAAACAACACAAAATGAGAGGCTATATTTATTTGTAGATGTGGTGAGAGATTTATATCAAGAATGGATAAGAACCCTAAAAACTCAGTAATAAAAACACTATAATCCAGCTGAACAATGAGCAAAGTGCGGGCATGCGGTAGAGCCCTTGCTTAACAATACCCAGCACCTCGAAGAAAATGAACAAAGTTTAAAATAAAAAATCTAAGCTGGGCGGCGGTGGCTCACACCTTTAATCCCAGCACTTGGGAGGCAGAGGCAGGCGGATTTCTGAGTTCGAGGCCAGCCTGGTCTACAGAGTGAATTCCAGACTGCCAGGGCTACACAGAGAAACCCTGTCTTGAAAAACCAAAAACCAAAAAAACAAACAAAAAACTAGGCAAAAGTGCTGAGTATAGAGCTGTGCTGGTTATTGTTAACTCTACACTATCCACATCTAGAGTCACTTAGGAAATGGGCCCTGACCCTGCTCATGGGGGATTACTAAGGAGGGAAGATCCAACCACTAGTTAGTACAAACACAGAGAAGAGCTGAGCAGCTGCTTGAGTTAATTGCTGTTTCCAGTTATGGATAAATGTGACCAGCTGCTTCAAGCCTCTGCTAACTTGACTTCCCCACCATGATGGACTGTACTCCTGGACTCTCAACTGTGAGCTCAAATAAACCTTTTCTCTGGCTGGAGAGATGGCTCAGTAGAGCCAATGGCTGCTCTTCCACAGGACCAATTTTCCAGCACCTACATGGCAGCTCACAACCTTTTGTGACTCCAGTTTCAGAGAATCATCTTCTTCTGGCCCCCTCAGATGCCAGGTATACATGTGGTACACAAACATATATGCAAGCAAAACACCCATCACACGGTGCTGGACAGTTTCATGTCAACTTGACACAAGCTAGAGTAATATGAGAGAAAGGAGCTCCTGTGTGACTGCTGTAGGCAGGCCATTTTGTCTGTAGGGCATCATCTCAATTAGTGACTGGGGGTTGGGGGGCATTGATGCCAGTGTTGGTGGTCCTGGGTTCTATAAGAAATCAGGCTGAGTAAGCTACAGGGAGAAAGTCAGTCAGCAGTGCTCCTCCACAGCCTCTGCGTTGGCCCCTACCTCCAGGGTCTCACCTGGTTTAAATCCTGCCTTGGCTTCCTTCAATGGACTATGTGACTCAGGATAGGTAACCCTTTCCTCCCCAAGTTGTTTTTGATCATGGTGTTTTATCACAGCAATAATCACCTAACTAAGATACATATAACATAAAAATAAATCTTTCACAGAGAAAATAAAAATAAGCCTTTTCTCTCTTAAGTTGTTTTTTTACTTTATAGTATTTTCATTTAGTTTGGGTGGTTTGTTTGTTTATTTTGAGCCAGGGTCTCACTGTATAGCCCTGGCTGGTCTAGAACTCATTTTTGGTTATTTAACTGTACGCATGTCCGCACTAACCCAGAGAACCCATACAACAGTACTGGATCCCAAAGATGGAGTGCTAGGCAGCTGGGAGCCACCTGACGTGGGTGCTAGGAACCAAGTGAGTCCTCTGCAAGGGCAGCATGCCATCTTCTTTAACACATTTATTCAGTTGTATTTTATGTGCTGGGTGTTTTGCCTACATGTATGTAAGGGCACTGCATGCACTTCTGACCTGAGGAGGCCAGAAGACAGAACTGGATCCCTCAGAATCAGAATTTACAGACAACTGTTAAATGTCTTGTAGGTGCTGAAAATGGAACCTAGGTTCTCTGCTAGAGCAACAAAAGAAGAACCTAAGGTAGAAATTGGTACCAGGAGTAGGGACACTGATAAACCTGATTATATGGCTCTTAGGCCACTAAAACTATTTTGTGGCTAAAATGTAGAAGAATCTGGAGCAGTACATTTAACAAGTTTGTGAGTGTTGGAAGCCAAGCTTAAATGGCCATTCTTGTGTGGACTTACACTACACAAATACTGAGGAAACTTGGGACAGTAGGGACCTACTCATGAGGGTCCAGAGGGAACAAGATTCTATCAGTAACTGGGCTAGAGGCCATTAATGTACTATTCAGCCAAGAATGTGTCTTCATTCTGTTTACATCTAGAGAGCCTGAGAAAGTGGAAAGCTAATGGACTAATTTGTTTGGCAAAGGGAATTTCAAACCAAGAGAGCATCCAGGGTGGTGCTGAGAAAGCAGCTGTAATGGTAAAGAGACCAGCACCCCGAAGAGAGATCTCCTATCGGCACTAGCACAACAGGAAAGGAACCCTGAGGGACAAGCTCAGCCCTTAGAGGCCCATCTTGTGAAGACCTGGGTTCATTTTAAAAGAATCTAAGCTCACAGGCTGGGGACCCTTGGAAGTTGGAAGTGTATGGCTTGTCTGATTCTACAGGAACTCACAGTTAAGACCTTGGACTTTTTTAAAAAGCTGCTGATGGGTCAGCAAAGTGGCTCAGTGGGTAAACGCACTTGAATCCAAGCCTGACAGCCCCAGAGCCCATATGGTAGAAGGAGAGAGTCAACTCCAGTAAGTTGTCCACTGACCATTCATGAGCACTAAGCATACAGATGTACACATATATGCACAAATAAATAAATGCAGTATTTTTTAATTAAAAAGAAGATGAAATTGGCTGGGCAGTAGTGCACACCTTTAACCCCAGCACTCACAGAAGCAGTGGATCTCTGAGTTGGAGGCCAGCCTGGTCTACAGAATGAGCTCCAGAACAGCCAGAGATACCTAGAGAAACCCTGTCTTGAAAAAAACAAAAAAAGATGAAATTGTTAAAGACAATGGGGACCTTTAAAGTCAGTTGGAATATATAATATATAATATACATTCTATATTATAACATGGCCATGAGCCTCTAAGGGGCAGGAGGTGGAGCTGTGACAGTCAGCACCATTGTTTCAACAGCTCTGTGATCAGCCTTGAGCACGGCTGGGTAGAGGAAACGTGATGGTTTTAGCTGAGGCAGGAAGACTCATTCAGGTAAACACTGACACAAATGAATAAATCTAAAGATTAATAAAACCAGCCAAAAACAGTTACAGATTAAAGAGAGATTTAAAACTTGGCACAGTGGTGCATGCCTCTAATACCAAAATTGTGGACACGGCTGCTGGGAGTAGGGTGGCACAGAGGCTGGTAAATCTCTGAGTTTGAGAGGCCAGCTTGGTCTAGTGAGTTCTAGGAGAGCCAGGGCTGTAGAAAGACCTTCACTTAGAGATTTAAAAGAAATCAAATTGAAAACTGGGGTAAGACTAAACTTTAGAGTATAGGGAAAGGTATTTCAATAATCCCAGTGTTGATAATAGAAAAATGAAAAATGCATACTTATGCCAGCACTGGAGAGGTGGAGGCAGGATAATCAGGAGTTCAAGGTCTCCCTCAGCTATACAGTCAGTCTGAGGCCAGTAAGGGCTTCACGACATTGCCTAGAAAAACCGAGCAATCAACGGCAGTCTTGCTGGAAGAGTGCAGAGCCAGCAGTGCTCAGTGCCGCCAGCACAGCTTCACCTTATACTAGAAACTGGTATGGTTACCTCCTTTTCCACAAAATCCAAACTGGATCAGCCAAGCCTTTGGATAGAACAATCATTTTACAGCAAATTCAGAGAACCATACTGTAACCATGGAGGTCACGATAGGTAAATTCCAGGCAGGACAATATTTTATTTAAAAATATTCTTGAGACAGGATCTCATTTGATAGCGCTGAACTGGATATATTTAAAATTTTGTCACTGCAAAATATAGCAGCTTACACCTATAATTCCAGTACTTAGGAGGCTAAGACAGGGGAATTGCCACAAGTTCAGAACTAGTCTAGGTTACATATTAAGTGCTGAGATCAGAAGTTCACTGTCACCTAGGGAGTATACTTGAAGCCACCCTGGGATACCTGAGCACTTCCCAAAGCAAATAAATATACAGAGAGAAAGAAACAGACAGACAGATAGCCAAGAATGGGGTTCCACTCTAGAGCTTGCCCAAGACCCTGGGTTGTGTGGGGACTGAATCTGGGGAACTAAGCTAAATGCTCAGTCCCAATTAGCTAAAATTTTAATAGACTAATTAATCAATTAGCTAACTTTGAGTTCTTTATAAAAATTAAGAGTTATTTAAATTAGAAACCTGACCTTCTACTTATTATATAACAGGCATTCAATAAACAGCAGCCAATACTACAAACTCTGCAACCCATGTACAATATTAGAAATCTTAGCTGCAATGTCTGAAGTTACAGTACATTTGCGGGATAAGAAGAGCTACACTGACGGAGCCTAAGACTCCATCGAGTCTCTCAGTATTCTGCAAGCAGAGATGCTGCAGAGTAACAAGACATCTTACTGAGAGTTGGCCAGATTACCAACAAGCAGAGCTCATGCCCTTGTCCCTGCAAATCACTTTGTCTTTCTACAATCCCTTCCTTAAGGCTATGAGTTCCCTCAGGGCATCAACTAGCTTACTTTTTATACTGAGTTACAAATAAATGTTTGTTAAATAAATATCCATCATATCCACAAATGTTAAAAATTGCTAAGCAGAGTCAATCATATGAAGAATTCTAACATTTTCCTTCAACTAAGACAAACACATGAGCCCCAATGGTGTTGGCAGTACTGCAGCAAATACCAAATGAAGTGAGAATTAATACAGTTCACACCCTGTCGTGCCTTATTTAAATCACCAGCATTATACAAACATCACTGTCACCTGGCCCAATCCTGTTCCCGATGTTCTGCCCAAGGCTCCCCAGCAACTCCTACATTTTAGAGCAATTTCTTGGCACCCTGCATAGGAAGCTAATTTGATTCAAAGTGAAAGCATGAAGCTCTCACTTTAAGTTCTGTTTGCATCCCACAGATTCCTCTCATAAATGTGCTTGTCAGCTTTCCTTACCTAATGCTAAAAACCAAGTTCTTCTAAACCATTCCTTCACCTCCTCTAATAGTGACCAGGCAGATTCCTTCTTGAGTGATCACACTAGTGAAGCCAAGATTAGGGCAGTGCTTCTACACTGAGAGAAGTCTTTATTTTTCAACACAGTGGAGATGTCAAAATACCAAACAATAACAAACCACTCCTCTTTGGCAGTTAGTCAAAGAGGACAAACCCATAGCAGGCATCTCTTAATAAACTACAACTGCCCCTAGCCTGTGGACTCTCACCACTGCCTTTCTGGTGATACTACTCTCACATCCCTGTCCCTGGGGAAATGCCAGGAGAGCTCACACTGCCCTGTTTCACAAGTAAGAGGTAAAAAGCCCATAACAGCAGCAAGAAACAATCTCAATGTCAAATGCTACACAATGCCTGGGCTTCAGAGATGGAAACGATTTTCTTATTCATGTGGTCAGAGAAGCAGAAACCATTCTTTAGAACATTGTAGGATTAGCTGGGCAGTGGTGGCGCACGTCTTTAATCCCAGCACTTGGGAGGCAGAGACAGGCGGATTTCTGAGTTCAAGGCCAGCCTGGTCTACAGAGTGAGTTACAGGACAGCCAGAGGTACACAAAAAAAAAAAAAACCCTGTCTCGAAAAACCAAAACAAACAAACAAACAAAATAGAACATTGTAGGATTAATGTTCAAGGTCCACCATTAGTCACTGGACTCTGCAGGAGAAGTGGCTGCTCCAGTAGCCAGGCCAGTTTTAGGTGTGGCCTTTTGTTTGGGAACTGGAACATTCTAGTAGGACATCATATCCTAGTTGGGTGTAATAATGAACATAACTAGCAGGAGGCTGAGGTAAGAGGACAGCCTGGGCTACCTAGAAATACAAGGCCACCCTAAAATACAAGTCTAAGGGCCTGTTTAAAAAAAAGCAACAACAATAATAATTACTGTAACTACATTTTTACCTGGGACCCTGGACCTCAGGAAATAGAGAAATTTCCCATTCTTGGAGTGCATGATGGCTCTCTTAATGAACTCCACCACCGACTGGCAGCGATCTTCAAACTTGGGATGGCACCATAAGCTGAAAGTTCCTGGAATGGAAAATGCAGAGGAAATTGACAAACTCTTTTGGTGGGGTGTGGTGCTCAAGAGTCTAAGGTAGGAAGATCTCAACTAGAGAACTAGCGCACAGATCGGGCTAGGTAGCAAAACTCTAGAAATTAAAAAAGAAAAAAAGAAAAAAAGAAAACAAAGCAAACAAAAAACCTCAAATGATCTGAGAGGCTGCTTTGAACATTTTAATTTTTTGTTTGTGTTTTGTTGTTGTTTGGTTTTTTTGAGACCTGGTTTCTCTGAGTAGCTTTGGCTGTCCTGGAACTTGTTCTGTAGACCAAACTGGCCTCGAACTCACAGATATCAGCCTGCTTCTGCCTTCCTAGTACTGAGATTAAAGACATGCATCACCACTCCCTAACTGAACATCTTATTTTTTTTTAATAACTAAATTCTTAATTAAATTTTAAACAATATTTTTAACTCATTTTTTGGGGGTATGGTGGTGGCACACACCTTTAATCCCAAAGCACTCTGTAGACAAAGGTAAGTATATCTCTGTGAGTTCAAGGCCAGCTTGGTCTATAGACTGAGTTCTAGGACAGCCAAGGATACACAGAGACATCCTGTCTTGAAAAGCCAAAACAGAAAACAAACCAACAAAAGAAAAATAAAGATATCAAAAAAAAAAGTTTAGAGGGGCCAGCAGATGACTCGGGTGCTTGCCAGCAAAGATGATATCCGAGTCCTCGCCCTAGAACCAACAAAGTAGGAAGAAAGAACCGAGTCCCACAGATTCCCTGCCTACCATACACATGTAGTGGCCTATACACGTTTGAACACATGCATTTACAAAATGCATGAATTAAAAATAATTTAAAAAACCAAATCATTAGAAGAATAAGGATTTTTCCATATGTATACTACTTCTTAAATGACTTACTTCCCACATTTGTATTTATAAATGCTACATTCACCTGTCATATAATGAAGACGCACATACTATAAAGGATGTGAGAGGACCATAGTGAAAGCAAGTGGTCTCTGACCTAAACCTTCCAGTGTGCATACCAGTCACCCTTCAGGCACTCACTCTTGCATGACAGGCACGGGGAAAGCAAACTAAACTAAGTATTCCCTTCCTTCCCATGCCCAGAACGTTATGAATTTCTACCTCAAACTCCAGAGTTCCAAAGGCAAGAGGGAATCTGACCTCCTGTGACTTAATACTAGGTTCCGAAAGAATGGCCTACAAAAGAATACAATTTGGACCTAATCACTGCAGGGGACTGCAGACTAAAGTCTCTGCAGCTATCCTTACAGTGTCACCAAAAGTGATGAGGGCGTATCCCACTGCCACCAAGTACCTGAAACAAACCCTCTTTTTTTTGTTTGTTTGTTTTTTGTTTTTCGAGACAGGGTTTCTCTGTGTAGCCCTGGCTGTCCTGGAACTCACTCTGTAGACCAGGCTGGCCTTGAACTCTCGAACTCAGAAATCCGCTTGCCTCTGCCTCCCAAGTGCTGGGATTAAAGGCGTGCACCACCACTGCCCGGCTTTTTTTGTTTTTTGTTTTGTTTGGGTTTTTTTTATTGTTTTTTTGTTTTTTGATTTATTTATTTTTCATTCTGTGAGACAGCGTTTCTCTCTGTAGACTAGGCGAGGCTAAAACTCAGAGGCCCACCTGATTCTGCCTCCTGAGTGATAAGATTAGAAGTATGTACCAACATACCCTGCTTTTATTTTTTTTAATTATGTAGATCATATATAATTTTACTATTTATTAAAGATGAAAACAGCCGGGCCGTGGTGGCGCACGCCTTTAATCCCAGCACTCGGGAGGCAGAGGCAGGCGGATTTCTGAGTTCGAGGCCAGCCTGGACTACCCTGTGAGTTCCAGGACAGCCAGGGCTACACAGAGAAACCCTGTCTCGAAAAACCAAAAAAAAAAAAAAAGATGAAAACAAATTTGCATGCTCCGATGAATATGCCTGCTACTTTTACATAAAGAATTAAATCTTGGGGCTGGTCATAGTGGTGCATGGCAGGGATAAGAATCAGTTCAAATCCAGTCTTGGCAAGTCTAGGCTACACGAGATCCTGCCTCAAACAAACAAACAAACAAACAAACAAGGGTTAGGGAGATGGATCAGTGCAAACACAAGGACCAGAGTTTGGATCCCCAGAATCCTTGTAAAGCTGAGAATGGTATCACACGTCCATGTTTCCAGCACTCCTATGGCAAGATGGGAGGTTGGGGTAAGAAACTCCCTAGAAGCTCAGGCCAACTATGCTGGTGTATGCTGCACCAGAACGAGAGCGCCTGTCGTAAGGTAAGAGGTACGGACCGACATTCAAGACATCCATGGTGTCCTCTAACTTTACAGGCACCCTGCAGGGCACATCCCTGTACTTATCCACCCTCCTCACACACACAGCACCCCCCCACACATATCCACAGACAGACTGACAGACTGACAGACTGACTGGAGAGCTGTCTTAGAAGTTAAGAGCACTCACTATTTTTGCAGGATTGATGCCTAGCACTCACATCATAACTGCTGATAATCCAACTCCAGGAGACTTAATCCCTTCTTCAAGTGGTACATAAACAGACACTCAGGCCCACCCACAAAATAATAAAATTTTAAAAGGAGGGCAGGGACTACCTCAGCAAAGGTAGGAAAAGGCAAATCAGAAGAACAGCTTTCCTGGGGCAGCAGCTTACCTCTGTAGTGCTCCATCCTAGTGTGATGGGTGATACCCTGTGATCGAAAGCTGAGGCTCAGGATGTAACGAGGGTCAGAGCTGTCTCGTACCAGGAAAGAACCATCTGGCTTCCCTTTCAGTTTCATCTCTGCATCTTCCCAATTCATAGGTCCCCAATACCAGCCACACTATAAAAGATAGGAAATACTAAAGTAGTTAACAGAAATGGCAACATCCTGGGCACAATCTGTCTTACCAGGGGAGATTTCCCTCATCCTCCAAAATGTCTGAGAAGATAAAAGCCATTAACACCTGTGCCAACCATAGCCGAGAGCACCAGCTCCTTACACCCTGACTCGGTACCAGAGGACCAATCCATCTCATTACCAGTGGTCCGTAAGGACCAGAAGGAACTGGGCTGTCTACCTAGTAAAACCACCACCTTACACTATTCCAAATATCTGTCCAGCCACTGTGAATATGGAGACACAGAAACTCTTCTTCCTCTAAAAACATCGAGGACAGCACAGACAGAGCTGCTAGCCCTCAAGCGCCTACCTTTTCCAGCTCTCGAAGACTGGCTGCAAAGCTGCTTGAGTCTGGCCGGTAGAGAGGACACTGGAGGTGCTGGGGGGGCTGGCTGTGCAGAGATTCTGATGCTCTGATGGGAGCAATTCGGGGAAATGCATCTGCAGGGCAAAAGAACGGAGACCACTGTTTATCCACACTGCACCAACCCACAGGCAGACTTCCCTTCCCCAGAAGATGCTAACTGAAGAGGGGCAAGGCGTTAGAAGCTAAGCTGGGAGGGTGGAGCCAAAGCAGTGGGAAAGAGCTGATGGGCTGGAACACAAAGCTGTATGAGCTCATGTAAGCTGTGAAGGATGAGGGGGCATCCAACCCCAGGACAGCAGTAGGGAGCTGCTCACTAACCTGACTAAGGTGACTACTTCAGGGCCTTCACCAGCCTAGAGCGGTTCCAACTTCTCCCACCTCGAAGTGAAGTGCCGGTAAAGCAGCCTTGGAAATAGTGACTCGTTTACTTGCCCAGGGAGAGTAATGATTTTGCCAGGCAAGTAGAAAAGAATGCTGATTTCATTCGTTTTATTCCTTGGGTACTGGAGGCTGGCAAAGCAGGTACGGGCTACTAAATGCTTGGTACTTATTTACAAGGCTGCAGTCAATACCAAAAGCTTAGGGGAAAAACCACACAACTTTGATAACCAGCAACACAGTAAACCTCTCCACTGAACTGACATCAAGGCAATTTCTTAAGTGATATCTCCTCAGGGACTGACTGCAGCCCCAGAAGCAGGAACCAGAAATCCCAGGCTTTTATTTCTAAGAAAAGATTTACTTCCATAAGGAAACAGGTTAGAAAAGAAAGTTCTCAGACTCATTTTCAAGTTCTAGTCCAAGCAAGAGGATAAAGGCTGAGGCTTTCCATAAGCAGACTTCTCCCGTCCTTCCACTCTTATGAGCCTTGGCTCTAAGCTAAGCTAACCTGGGGCGTGGGGTGGAGGAGGCGGAGGTAGGGGGAAAGACTGCAAGGAAGACCCCATCGGAGCCACAAGGACAGATGTAGGCAGCGTCCCACTGATATCATCTACAAGAGAGAACAAAAGCAAAAGGTTCAGCAAAATGAGCACATACCCGCGAGGTGCAGGCAGAGGAGGAGAGGCTGTCAGGCTGCCCTCTGGGGCAAGGTAGCCTGGCCTTCATGCTATCTTTACGCACGGGCAAGTCTTCCTAATCAGCTTGGCTTTGCTTAGAAAGCAGGAGAGTGAGGCTGCTCCTAAAGCAGCTCAGGAGCAACAGACTGAGGGCAGGGACATGGTGACGCTACTCAACACATGGACACTTGCTTCATGCAAATAAGATGCCCACCCATTCAGGGGCCTACAGACATGACAGGGGTGTGGAGAAAGGGATGGAAAATAATTGGGTCATCAACAGAAACCCTTGACCTTATCTGGTCCATGACCAAAGAGCTCACCCTCCCTACAGGGCAAGATGGCAAACGGGTGGGTTAGAGACTATACCTAGGAGGCTGAGGCTTCTTCTTGGAGGAGGAGGGGGAGTTGGAGGGTGTGGAGAGGTCAGGCCCCGCTGAGAAATGTCCACGTCCACAAGCGACACTGTCTCACCTGAGGGATTCACATAGCAAGCATGTTACAGAAGCAATGTCCAAAGCTGAAGCCAAAAGGAAAGGGTAACAAAGGGCAAGCAAGGGAGGCCAGAGGGCAGAGGGTCCCTAAGCAAGGGAGGCCAGAAGGCAGAGGGTCCCTAAGCAAGGGAGGCCAGAGGGCAGAGGTTCCCTAAACTCTCCAAGCTGGAATTACCCTGAACACCAATTGTCTTAAAATCTAGTTGTTGCTGGGTTGTGGTGCACACACCTTTAATCCCAGTACTTGGGAGGCAGAGACAGGTGGATCTCTGAGTTCTAGACTGTCAGCTTGGTCTACAGAGTTTCAGGACAGCCAGGGCTACACAGAGACAAGATTTGTCTCAAAAAAACAAAAGGAAAAAAAAGCTCAGCTGTTCTGGGTTAGCAAGGGGCTCAGAGGTCAGGAGCCTTGCTATTCTTGCGCAGATCCACATTTGTTCCCCACACCCACACAGTGGCTCATAACCACCCTAAACTCCAGTGCCAAGACATTTAGTGCCCTCTTCTGCCCTCTGCAGGCACCAGGCACACACACAGTATACACACTTAGGCAAAACAACTCATCTACATAAAGAAAAATAGAAAGGGTAGGATGGCTCAATAGAAAAAGAGGCTTGCTAACAAATCTGATAATCTTCTTTTTTTTTTTTGGTTTTTCGAGACAGGGTTTCTCTGTGTAGTTCTGGCTGTCCTGGAACTCACTCTGTAGACCAGCCTGGCCTCGAACTCAGAAATCCACCTGCCTCTGCCTCCCAAGTGCTGGGATTAAAGGCATGCGCCACCACCGCCCGGCTGTTTTGTTTTGTTTTTTGGTTTTGTTTTGTTTTTTGGGTTTTTGTTTTTGTTTTTATTTTCTGATAATCTAATTTCAATGCCAAGTCCTGTATGGCAGAAAAAAACCTGATTCTTGATAAGTGTCCCCTGAGCTCCAAATGCATGATGTGCCACACTCATTCTCACTGTGAGCCTGACAGTGAGAACACTGTCCAGTGCTCTTTCTGCTACTGACTTACCTTGAATAGGGGCTCTAGTTCTGAAAAGGAATCTTTTTTTTTATCAAATAAAACCATGCTAAGTGCTGGGCCAGGGAGGAGGTTCGACATACAAAGTGCCTGCCTCCAAACCAGAAGACCCAAGTTCAACTCCTACAGTTGTCTTCTGGCTTCCTCATATGTGTGTTGTGACTTACACATATGCATGCACATGCATTAAATGTTTAAGAAAAGCTGGGCAGTGGTGGCACACGCCTTCAATCCCAGCACTTGGGAGGCAGAGGCAGGCGGATTTCTGAGTTCGAGGCCAGCCTGGTCTACAGAGTTGAGTTCCAGGACACCCAGGGCTACACAGAGAAACCCTGTCTCAAAAAACTAACTAACTAACTAACTAACTAACTAACTAACTAAATGAGTGTTTAAGAAAGAACGCTGGGTAGCACGGCTGTCTATGTCTTTAAACCAGACAAGAAGGGGATGGAGATGGGAGGAGGTCAAGGTCAGCCTCTGCCACACATTTGAAGCCTGCTTGGACCTTAAACAGAACTGAAGTCATCTGTGGAAGTTTTAGGACGCAGGCTATGGACTGCTGTCAGTCTCACTGCCTTGAACAGTGAGTGTCCAACCGGCATGGACAAGAATCCATGTTAGAAAGTCTAGGATATCACTTACAGGTGTGCTAAGGCTCTGCCTTAACCTGAAACTAAAATCTACATGCTCCTAAAGAGGAAGCAACTATTAACTAGAAAAGTATGTAACCAATAAGATAAGCAGTTCTGTTTATGGGGACCCACTACAGTAAATGTCTACAAGATGTCGTTTGTTTTAACAACTCACTGGAACCTATACAGTTGGGGACCCACTGGCCTGGAAATGTCCATTCTAAATCATAATTCCTCTAAATCACCTTTATAGGGGCCATAATATCCAAAGGAGTTAAAGATTAGCATTTTAAATTTGGTTAATTAGTTTTTTAGATAGAGTCTCACTATGTAGCTCTGATTGGCCGAAACTCTCTACATAGACTACACTGGCTTTAAACTTTGCAATCCTCCTCCCTCTGCCTCCCAGGTGGTGGAATTACAGGGGTAGGTTACCACACCCAACCAAAAGACTATTTTATAAAGGGCTTCTCACACTTGAGACAATGTGAAAAAGACCTTTTACAGCTTCTACTCAAGCAGGAGCTTTACACATGACTGACAGAACAAGTCCCTCTCTGAAGAGTTTCCCATATGAGATGGTATGGCAGTGACCCATTACCAAGACACTCAACAGCCTTCTTACTTTAGCCACTGTGTGCCCGCTCCAAGAGGACAGCCTTAAATTAGACACAGTGAAGAGCACTAACAGCTGCCAGAACTGCCAGCCCCTAAAATGGTAAGACAAGAGCTCACACAGTCGCCAGTGCCCTAAGTCTTTAAACCAGACCAGATGCTCATGGGTCATTTTTATTAGATAATCTATGAACTTCCTTGGAAGCTGGGACAGGAATTACGACTTCAGGAGAGTCTTTTATGCATTGCAAGCTTATATCGTAGTAATTCCTGCCTTTAATTTATATGTAATAACTCTGAACTATGTAACTGCTAGGGCTATCCTATTACCAAGCCGCCTTTACCTTCCAGTGTAGTGGATCTGAAATCAAAGCACACACTCCACATGCCAGAAAAACATCCCCAAACCCAGGGGCATGGGATGAAGGAAATTATTGCAGACAGCCAGAGAGGAGACAAGAGCTCCTCCAGCAACACATATGAAAGGGTGCTTCCTGAGAAGTCTCAGGACACTCTTTCAGTTGTCAGAGTAGAGAGAAAGACAGAATCCTTACCTGTGAACAAGGGGCTGAAGGAGACCGGAGAAAAGGCACTTTGAGTTCTTGTCAACCTGGGTTTCCTAGGGAGAAATGAACACATATGCACTTAAATCACTAGAACACTGGATTCCAGATGTCCTGAAATAATACCCTTTATTACAGACATATTGGCAACACTTCTGTAATAAAGCCTAAAATTTAAAGGAGGATGAAATAATTAAGGCAATTCCTTAAATAGATTTGGCTTCTAAATTCACCAGCCTACAATAGCTACAATAGCAGTCCCTTGGGTCCTGACATGCCCAGCACAGAGGAATGAAACACCTTGAGTGGTAATTACTAAGTCTATTTCACAAGGAAGAGTTTGGATGCGGAGTTGATTTTCATCTGAACGCCAACCAAAAGCCTTTAGGCCTGAGCAGCTGCCAACCTGGAGCAAAGGGTTGACTTTAAGACAAGACGGTTCCATACGGAGTCAGTCAAGAGGCAGAGAGCACGCCCTGGGTAGGGAAGGGCACTAAAGGATACACTGCCATCTTCAATCATGAGCACCTCTCTGCTCATGGCCCTGAGATGTGACCCTAGGCCATGGCTAACAGGGTCGTCTTAGGGTAGCTCTACCCGGCACCCAAGTATACCCTCCCCTACTCCTGAGTCACACAGCTCTGCTTTCTTGTTCTCCAGAAACCACCTTCCATTACACACCAAGGTAACAATTTATCTGTTTCAAGTAGTTTTTCAGCAAACAGTGAAGAACAAAAGATGCTAACACAGACTTTCCAGCCAGAAATGTGTGGAAATGTATTCTCATTCACCTCAAGATGACAAAGATTTTACAGAGGTGGTAGGAATAGGCTCATGCTCACAAAGGGTGAGGGGTAAGTTCTGATGACTACATAAATCTGTCAAAAATCAGTCAGGCCAGACTGGAGAGATGGCTCAGTGGTTAAGAGCACTGGCTGCTCTCCCAGAGGTCCTATGTTTAATTCCCAGCAACCACATGGTGGTTCACAACCATCTGTAATGAGATCCAATGCCTTATTCTGGTGTGTCTGAAGACACTGACAGTGTATTCATAGATAGATAGATAGATAGATAGATAGATAGATAGATAGATAGATAATCTTTTAAAATAAATCAGTCAGGCCAGGTATGGTGATGCACACCTTTAATCTCAGTACTCAGTAGACTGAGACAGGCCAGCCTAGTCTATATAATGAATTCCACGATAGCCAATAGCCAGGACTACATAATAGAAAAGAAAAAGAAAAAAAGCAGGTGGGCACAAAGACATACACCTTTAATATCAACATTCTGGAGGCAGAGTTCCAGGCTAGCCTGATCTATATGGTGAGTTCCAGGTAGTTAAAGCTTCAAAGTCAGACCCTGTCTGAGACAAAACAAAAAGGGTCAAAAAAAAAAATCAATACATGTGGACACCTAAAAAAGGTAAATTTTGTGACATAAAACTTATACCTCAGCTGGCAGTGGTGGTGCATGGCTTTAGTCTCTGCACTCAGGGCAGAGGCAGGTGGATCTCTATGAGTTCAAGTTCAAGGTCAACCTAGTCTACAGAGTGAGTTCCAGGACAGCCAGGGCTACACAGAGAAACCCGGTCTTTTTTTTTTTTTTTTTTTTTTTTTTTTTTGGTTTTTCGAGACAAGGTTTCTCTGTATAGCCCTGGCTGTCCTGGAACTCACTCTGTAGACCAGGCTGGCCTCGAACTCAGAAATCCGCCTGCCTCTGCCTCCCAAGTGCTGGGATTAAAGGCATGCGCCACCAACGCCCGGCAGAAACCCTGTCTTGAGAAACCAAACAAAACATAAAACCATTTGCTTTTTAGGGCCCACACACAGCCTCATTAGTCAAGTGCCTGCCTATCATACACAATGCTCTGAGTCAACTCCCCGCCAGCATCACCATATTTTTAAACCTATGTATCTGTTTTTATCATATGCGTGTGTGTTTGTGTGTCACATTATGTGGGTATTCATTGAAGCCAGAGAAGGAGATGGGACCCTGGAAGTGAGTGCAGTTACAGGCTCCTACGGGTGCTGCGGTCTGAACTCAGTGATCTGGAGGAGCATCACGTGCTCGCAACTCTTTGAGTCATCTCTCCAGCCTCAATACAAAACCAAAAACCGTATTTATGCTTTTTGGTTTTGTTTGAAACAGAATTTCATGTAGCCCAGGCTAGCCTCTAACTCACTAAGTAGGTGAAGATGAGCTTGACCTCCCTTTGCCTCTACCTTTCAAGAACTGGGACCACAGATCCACGACAGTAGGCCCAGTTTTACTTTTTTTTTTTTTTTCGAGACAGGGTTTCTCTGTGTAGCCCTGGCTGTCCTGGAACTCACTCTGTAGACCAGGCTGGCCTCGAACTCAGAAATCCCCCTGTCTCTGCCTCCCAAGTGCTGGGATTAAAGGCGTGCGCCACCACCGCCCGGCTTTTCTTAACTTTTTTAGATTAAATTTTATTCATTTTAATTATGTGTGTCTGTGCATGTGTTTGCACATGTAAATACAGACATCATTGGAGGCCAGAGGTATCAGATCCCCTGGGGCTGGAGTTTCAGGTAATTGTGAGATTCCTGACTTGGGTGCTGGAATGAACTCGGGTCTTGTGCTCTTAACTACAGAGAGCCGTCTCTCCCACTCCTGCTTTTATGTTTTAATGTAGATGCCTGAATTCGCAAAACACAATTTCAAAACCAGACTATGACGAGATGAGTCAGAAAGCTGCGAGCTGGATGTGGTGCTGTGTACTGAGTCCAGCTGGATGTGGTGCTGTGTACTTAGTCCAGGCAGCACTTGTGAAACAGAGGCCGGAGGGCTACCTCAAGTCCAAGGTTCAGTCTGGGCTGCGTAACAAAAAACAAAAAAACAAAAAACAAAAAAACAAAAAACAAACAAAAAAAACCAACCCCACACATCTTTAGTGATGCAGACACAGACCTCTGACTTCAAACTGGCCTCATCTGTGGAATGGGTCCCAGGCTGGCCACAGCTACAGAGACGTCTCACAGAGACGAGCCACAGGCAGCCTCCTTCTAAGAGATCTACCAATCCACACTGGAATATAGCTGCAGCCCACACAGCAGACATGGCCACATAAAAGCAAGATACAACCACACATGGTCTCCATTTATAAAAGTTGCTCATGACTACAGCTTAGCGCCAACAACCCAAAGGAAAGTTAAGCCCACTGGACATGAACTTACAGCATCTGAGGAGCTTCCAAGCTGACTTTTATTTGATAACTTGTAGGTACAACATTAAACTCAGCAAGCAGAAACCCAAAGCACTGGCCTTTCAAAGGTTCACACCTCAGCCACTTGGCAGTTTGCCTCTTCTCAAAGGAAACTGCATCACTCTGCCATCTGCCCACGCAGGGACGAGTCTCCTTGTGCCAAGCTCTGAGGAAGGGCAGTATCCAAGCAGTCTTGCGGGGGCCTCTCACTTGAGCTCATCTTCTCTCCCACCCCCGACATTTTGAAAAAGAAAAAAAAAATCATAGTTTCTAGGATCTAGAAAAAGAAAAACATCTGAATTTAAACCCAGGCAAACCCATCTGAAAGTACTAGATGGTTTTCCTGGTAAAGATGGGTGCTTTGTGACTTGAAGCTAAAAGGTAGAAGGTAGAAGGGGTTGCATGGTGGACAATAACTGTGTACTTCCTTCTCTCTTTAGGGAGATGCTGCCTAACCGAAAGCCCACTTTCTCAAGGACCCTGGGAGCACTGTAATGTCAGCCACTCACTGACTATCTGGAAGTCTATCTAGATGACTGAAACACAAAGCAATGAAGTGATAACACAGACTTGAGGATGGCAGTTCCTTGGGGACAACACAGACTGAGGACAGCAACACTTGAGTCCAGATAAAGCAGAGCTAATACTGTACCTATTTACCAAGCTTAATGATGAGTGCCTGTCTCGGTATGTAGTTATTACTTTAGTACAAATATTTTCTGTATCCCCTTTTTTATATAGTAAATATCTAGGATGATAAAAACTCATTTCTAAGCTACTTCTGACCCTTCTGCCTGATCTCCTCAGGGCTAGGGTTACAAGCATGTACCACTATACACGTTTATGAGGTGCAATATGCCTGGTTTATGAAGCACTGGGGATTAAACTCAAGGCTTCATTCATTAAAGGCAAGCACTCTACCAGCTAAACTACATATATCCTAGGCCTCCAAATACACATATTTGGCAGTGCTGGGAATTTAACCCAGGGCTCTGAGCAATCGAGACAAGCACTCTACCGATTAAGCTACATCCCTAGCCCAAATAAACATTTCAAATTAACCCTCCATACTATTATATTCATGGGTTAGTAACGACTTCCCACATCAAGTTGAAAACACTGGGGAATAAAATTAAAGTACTTTAACTTTGCCAGTGGGCCACTTTCATCTTAGAACAGACTTATTGGAGAGGTAGGCTAAGGAGGATTTGGTAGGTGACTTAAGTGAGTGGGACTTTAGACAGAGGTCTTTGGGGAGCTTGCTGTCCTGCTTTGAGTCAGGCGTGTCATTGCCTGAACTGTAGGTAAGAGAACAACACTATCCATTTCCACTCTGCAAGTGATCTGCATTGCAACAGATTCATGAGATAAGGAGTTAGAAGCGTTAGACTAAACAGGACAATAGCACACAGATGTAACCACTGGCCAGTTTTCAAATTCCTTGGAACCTAAAATACAAACAATGAATCATACTGTATACCACCCCTGTCCATAAATCCCTCTATCCCTAAAACTTACATGTATCCTTTCCCAAAGCACCTTACAAACTAAGATGCCCAAACACTAGACTCTGCGGCTCCAATACACCTCTGCCCCTGCTAAGGCACTCAGTGCCAAGTCAGGCAGCCTGTGCCATTTCCAGCACATCATAAGCCAGTGTCTGTTCATGTGCTACAGGCACAAAAACCATGTGTTCATTTTTACTTCCAATACACAGACATCTGTGCAGCAAGGTCAGATCCAAAACTCTGTTGTAAACCAACTACAAAAGCGATAGAGGAACTCCTAGGGAAAAGCCAAGGGCCACAGTCTAATCCGAAAACCTCAGGAATGACTTTGGCAAGGAGAACCTTAAAGGCGCAAGAATCAACTGGAGAGACAAAAAAATTTAAAGCCAGAGAACTTATTCTGTGAGAGCTGACAACCACACGTAGTTTGTAAAAAGGTAGTCTGAAAGGCCAACAGAACATGAAACAAAACCCCAAACACAGCTTACAACACTACAGTATCACCTTGCTTTCAGCATGTCATGTTATGACTCTAGGCCCGTTTGAGCCTAGCTGCTATGGCAACACATGCCTGTGATTCCAGCACTTGGGAGATGGAAGCAGGAGATTCAGTTCGAGACTAGTCTTGAGCACATACAGAGTAAGTTTGAAGCCATCCTGAGCTATACAAGACCAGGCATAATGGTATACACATCTATAATCTCAGAGCTCAGGAAGCTGAGACAGGAAGATAAACTGGCCAGTCCAGACTGAAATTGTGAGACTGTATCTCAAAAGGACAGTGGGGTGGAGGGAAGAAAAGGGGCTGAGGATGGATCGGCTGTCACTTGCTGCTCTTCCAGAGGATATGTTTGGTTCCAGCACCCAAGTCAGGCTCACAACTGCCTGTGACAGCAGACCCACCCTTGAGACCCAATGTCCTCGTCTGACCTCATCAGACACCTATTGTGTTTGCAAGTACATACAGACAGACACATTTTTAAATCTTGTTTAATAAAACCAAAAGTAAGAATAAAGAAACAAAATAACAGCAATAAAATACACCCCTCCCCCAGCTCTCAAGACCCAAAGAAACAGTTAAGTCTCTGCTGTCGGCCAAGTCTATCCATGACAGCAGGGCCCCAAACTCATGCCAAAGCAGCCTCACCATCCAGAATTGCACCTTTTTTCCACAAACAAATCAAAAATCACTACAGAATTGCTTCCATTTCTCCACTACACAACCATGAAGACTGCCAGGAACAGCCTCAACTGTTAAACTCAGTAAACAAACCCTGTAACAAGGCACCTATTCCCAACTGAGCGTGTATTATGTGATGATTCAAACAGGGCAGATACATGCTATTCTTCACCGAATCTGAAGAAAGACAATCAGCTCAACATATGTGAAACAGACAAGGAAACTCCACTGTTTTTCCTGAAATAGCAAAGTTCTATATTATACCAAGGCCCACAGGCATGAAGCCCAGCTTTCTGAATTTTGACATATGTGTGGTATAAGGCCTAGCCCAGCTCACAAGAACAGAAAGCTGATTAGTTGGCAAGCTCAATCTTACTTCACTTTAAAGAGTTCTCAAAGTGAACTCATACTATTATTTTTTTTAATAGAAAAAAAATTTGAGACAGGATTTTTCTATGTATTTGTGGCTAGCCTGGAACTTGTTATACAGACCAAGCTAGCTTCCAACTCAGAGATCTGCTCATCTCTGCCTCCTGGGTCCTGGGGTTAAAGGTATGTGTGCCATCATGCCCAGCTACATTCGTTCATTCATTCATTTATTTATTTATAAAAAAAAATTGGGGGTGGATGCAGGCATGTGGAGGTCAAAGGACAACCTGTGAGGGTCAGTGCTCCCCTTCCACCATGTAAGTCCCAAAATGGTTCCAACTCAAAGCCATCTGGCCTTGCAGAAAACACCTTTATCTGTTAAGCTATCTTGCTGACCCTCATACTACTCTTTTGCTTTTAAAGATTTATAGATTTTACGTGTGTGTGTGTGTGTGTAGACATGTGTACATGGGAGATCAAAAAAGGGCATTTGATCTCCTGAAGGTGGAGTTACAGACGGTCAGGAGCTACCTGACCTGGGTGCCCAACCTGGGTATGTGGGAATCAAACTCTGAGCTTCTACAAGATCAGCAAGTGCTCGAATCTTCTAAGCCATCTCTACAGTCCTGTCCTCATTCCGTCCCCCCACCCCTGTTCTACTCTTAGGACTTGTATATCTGGGCAGTTCCACTTAAGGAACTCAAAAGGAAGTTGAGTTGTTCACCAATAGAATTTTGACTGCTAAGCCTTATAAAAATGACTGTTAGGAAATTCTCATTGAAATTGACAGCTGTGGGAAACCTGTAGCTGGGAAGGTAGAGGTTGAGTAAAGCAGAGAGAATTATGCCTAGAGGTTACCATAAATGCCCCAAATTACATAGCAAACACAGCAGAGACCCATAATTACCTTCAAGCAGTGCAGACACAGAAGCCTCGTAACTGGCAAAGAGCTGAGTCTCCTCAGAGCTTCAGGTGCTACCATTTAAAGCAAGAGAACAAGTGCAAACTCCAGGCCCCTGTTCTTCCCAACAAGAGAGGACTTGCTTAGGAGACACAGATCCACAGAAATCACAACTACCCTGGCCAGACTTACAGGGTTCTCACAGCCTAGAGGCTGCCAACAAGACTGGCACAGTAAGTGTGGAGAAGACAGAAGCAGCACCAAAGCTCAGCAGAGAAAAAAGCCCCAATTCAATCTTATTACTTCTCTTCCAAAAAGCATAAAATATTCCATGCAGTTTTCACATCTTCCCTCTGCTCCTGTAAGGACATGAACAGGACAATTCACAGCTGTCCCACTTCACAGATGAAAGGGGAAGACAAAGATGACAAGTCTGCCCTCCATACCACAGCTAATGCTCAACTTCCAAACAGAACCCAGACTTTCCTAATTCTCTATACAGCATGCTGCCTGCAAATAGCAGTCAACCAAATGTTTACACACAAATACCTAGCTCTTCTCCAATTCATCAGAAAAAGCTCTTGGACCAAAAAATGTATTTCTCCACTGCCCTGAACTAAGCTTCTTTGCAGAGGTACAGCCAAATTTGCTCTGCAGCAGAAACCTGTATTGCGCTTAGAGTAAGGGTTGGTGACAGAGCAGCCAATGACCATTACATTCTATATAATGGTATATGCCTTTTCCACTTCCTAATCTATTATATGTAGCAGCTAATTTCACGCCACACCTCATACTTGTCATCTCGGGAATCTTAGAGCAAGTCTTGGTCAATGTGGAACAAAGGCAAGACAAACCACAAGAAAATGATCAATCCATCCTATGCCCTTCCCCACAGCTCCAGGCCTGCCCTCACCCTCAGTGAGTGCACATGTCATCCACACTGAGAAGTGGAGCTCAGATACAGAACCTACTGGGGGGGGGGGGGGCCCGGGGGCACAGGGAACTGTTTCAGTAACCACACACTTTTCAAGACCTGAGCTCTCAGCAGGAATTTACACACACACATCACACACACACATCACACACATCACACACAAATAATAAAAATAAAACAGGCCCTACCAAAAGGGGTACACATGGGGGCAAACAACCAGGGATGTGGTTTGGCCCACGGCACAGATGTTCAGAAATGACAACAAAGCCAAAATATCTTATCTTGGAGTATTCAAGTTCCCTTGAGAATCCATGTCCAAGAATGGATGGTTTGTGAAGGAGGATAAACTAGGGAGCTTTAAAAAAATTAAGACTGGGCCCAGCCATACTTATCTTTCAACGTTCCCCCTACCCTCCAAGAGTCTAGTGCTCAGTAAAGTTATCAACTTGTCTGCCCTTTGCCCTTAGTCTGTCTCTGTATGTTTCAAGAATACATCACATAACCATACCAAGACCAATTCCAGTCAGGCACAATGGCAGCAGGCCTGTAATCCTGGCCCTTGGGAGGAGGTAGGAAGAAAGATCGAGAGATCCAGACCAGTCTGTGCTACTTAGTGAATTAAAAGCAAGCCTGATCAACATAATAAAACCTTGTCTAAAAAACAAAACAAAAGCCACCAATTCAAGTCTAAGCAGATTCAGAACTACAATTCACAATGTTATACCACAAGGTAAGACTCATTCATGGCTGCAAAACCTGACAGCTTTCTAAACTGACATTACAGAACTATGCTCCAGTCAAAAGTCTAGCCACTTCTTAGAAATTCAGAGGAAACAACTCAACATTTAAGTTTGGAATTGCCATTAATTGGCCTAGAAGTCAATGGGTCTACCTCCCCTAGAATGCTCACATCTGTGAGACAGTAAGCATAAAGCCCTTCTCACAAAGTGGTCAGCACACAGGCTTCAGACAGCAAATATCTAGGAACAACCAGGAGAATAAGAAAGGAGGTGCCCAGCTAATCGCTGGCCAGATTCCTCAGGCTATTTGCATGCATGTACTTGTGAAGAGAGTGGAGGCAGGTGCACAGGGAGAACAAGCAAGATGATCAAGATAATAACAGGCAGGTGATTGACACCAGCTTTTCGCCCCAAGGCTACACATTTCCAGCAACCTCCCAGCAACGTTAGTAATAACAGACATGGGAGGGGGTGCTTAAAAAGTGGGGCCAGTCCAGGGATGAAAGGTGAGGCCGGGCTTCAAATCATCCCCAGCAAGAGACGCTAACCCACTGAGAAGTGTCACAGAGTGTGAACTCTCCAAGAGTGAAAGCTGTTTCCACAATTAGCTCTGATCTAATGCGAGATGTCACCACCTTTAGTCCCAAGTGTCTGCCTCCTCCTGAAGTCCACAGCTTGAGAACTGATAGCATCGTGTTAGCAGTAGGGGAAACGAGGGAAACGAAACAAGAAATGGAACTTTGTCGCCTGGCCACCCCCCCCGCCCCCACCCCCGCTAAGCCAATCTCACCTCCCCGCATCCAGCTCCCGGACCGCAGAGCCTCCCATGTCTGTCAGGCTCGAAGCTGAAGCTGCCAGATCTCCCGAAGGCCTCTTGCCGGACCCATCCCCACCGCCCGAGCCGCCGTTGCAGCTCTTCGTGCGAAACAGGCGACTGAGGCGGATTTTGAAGGAACCCTTCCGAGAAGGGCCTGCCAGGGGCCGGAGGGGCCCGGGAGGCGGCGGCGGTGGGGGAGGTTGCTGCTGCTGCTCCCCTCGGCTCAGGCGCCCTGGAGGGACCAAGTCCTGCAGCGGAAAGGGCACCGGGGGTAGTTCGGGGCCCGGAGGCTGCAGCAGCAGCCGGCCACCCACTCCTCCTCCTCCACGGCCCGGGCTGCTGAGCTCCTCTTCCGAGCAGCTGTTAGTCTCCAGGCTCTCGGCCTCCGATTCCAAGCCTTCCAGGACCAGCAGCGCGTCGCTCGTCTCCGTGGGGTCCTCCCCGGCCTGCGGGGCGGCAGCAGGCGGCGGGGGTTGCGGCGGCGGCGGCTGCGGGGGGCACGGGCACGGACAGCAGCCTCCGCCGGCAGTCTTGATCCCCGGCCCGGCCGGCTGTCCGAGCCCCAGGGCCGCCAGCTGCGCCTCTAGTCCAGCCACCGGACCCCAGGTCCGCTCGAGCGCCAAGCCCGGCGGGAGGGCCTTGGGATCCAGCGCACAGCGGTGCCGGGGACACAGCAGTTCCGAGGGTCCCGGCTCCGGGGCCGCCTCCGCGTCCTCCTCCTCCGGCGGCCGCCCCACGTTGCGGAACACCATCAGCTGCGGCGGCCGGGCGCCCCGCGAGCCGGGCCGTGCGAGGAAGGGTGGCGGCGACGGGCCATGGCCCGGGGGCGGCGGCGGCGGGCCTGGCTCAGGGGCCGCCTCTCCATAGCCGAGGAGGCGGCTCAGGACCCGGTACGAAGCGGCCGCCGCCGCCGCCTCGCCGTCCCGGAGCTCGGCCCCCTGCATCGGGGTGAGGGAGGGAGGGCGGGCGGCTGGGAGCCGGGCTGGGTGGGGACTAGGCCGGGCCCCGCCGGAGCCCCGCCCGCCGCGGCCCCCGGAGCGACAGCGCTAACGGCCGCCGCGGCCTCTGCCTCATAGAGGGGGCGGGGGGCGCGCGGAGCCCAGCGCGAGCCCAGGCCGCGCGCCGCCGCCGCCGAGGACCGCCCCGAGACGTCACTTCCTGCCCAGGTCCCGCCCCCTTCCCCAGGGTACGCAGCGTCGGTCTCCACTATGCCTGACGTTGCTCTCGGGCCTGGTAGCTATTGGCCGTCTGCTGCTTCTGTGGCCTCCTTGGTCTCCGGCACCGACCCCTGCCTTTTCACTTCCTGGGCGCCCAGGCCCTGTCCACCCTCCTGTGTAGAGCAGTGCAGGCCTTGGGACCCGGGTCTGGACCTGGAAGAGGGTCGCGGCCCTTGGCACTGTCTGTGGGTCTTGTCCCATCTACGCTGCCTGGGGTGTGTGACCTTGGCCAAGTCATTTCATAAATCTGAATCTTCTTTGCTAGCATCCGATGAATTGTGGAATGACTACATAAAAATGTGTTGTAGGTCCTGCAGTGTGCTCTTCCATGCTAAAACAACTGGTTCTTTGGGGGAAGACAGAGTGTGTATACAGTTAACATAATCTCACCATGAATTTGACTGAAATAAAGGATGTAGAGTACATAGGTTCCAAGAAATAAAAATATACAATAGCCAATTCTGTATAACGGGTTGCCAGATGCTACTTACACTGGCTGTTGTCATAGTGCATGTGTCATGTTAAGGATAGACTCCAAGACGTGGCTCGTGCTAAGCAGCAATTGGACCACCAGACCTCATTCCCAGCCCTTCCCAAACTGGTGACAAGTGAGTGACCAAAGAGTGTAATTGTAACCAGAATTTTTACTAATATTTTCCTTTGTTGATGCAAGAGGACAGTGAAAAAAGCAAAACCTGATCAAATCGTCAATCATGGGGGCAACTTTGCTGAGTCAGAATTGGTTTCAGTGACTGGGAGAGTTTCTTCAACGTTTTGTGCTTTTCCTAATGTAACACCTACAGATTATACAGGAGATGTAAATCAGAACCGCCCTCATAATCTCCATCACTTAGAAAATGTATGTGTTTGCACATGTGTGTGCAGAACCCCAGAAAGGCATCAGATCCCCTAGAACTGTAATTATTAGCGGCCGTAAGTCACTGGACATGGGTGTGAACTGAGTTCTGACCCTCTGCTAGAGCAGGACAAGCTGCTGTCTGCTGAATTTGTTTATGGACAGGGTTTCTCTGCATAGCTGTACTCTGTAGATCAGGCTGGCCTCGAACTCAGAAACATGTCTGTGCTGGGAATAAAGCTGTGTGCCATCACCACTCAGCTCCCTACACTCCTCTTGTTTTTAAGACAGGGACTCTCACAAGTATAAGGACTTGAGTTTGGATCCCCAGCACAGGATAAAAGCCAGGCAGAGCAGCACATGTCTGTGAGCTTGGCACTTGCGGTGGGGTGGATCACCTGGAGCTCGATGACCAGCCAACCTAGTCAAACTGATGAGCTCCAGAATGAGGAACAGGCACATTACAGAGCTGTCTTCCCAGCCCATGGGGCCACTTTGAAATAGAAGTTTGCTCACAGCCTGTGATTGTAAAGATTTATTTACATATATTTCTCTGCACACCAAAGACAGCATCAGACCCATTATAGATGGTTGTGAGCTGTCACGTGGCATGCTGGGAATTGAACTCAGGACCTCTAGGAAGAACAGCCAGCACTCTTAACCACTAAGCCATCCCTCCAGCCCCACAACCTGTAATTGTAACTGTGCATGCTTAGGATAGAGAGAAAGCTCCTCTGTGGGACATATAGGCCCTGATGGTCTCCCCACTGCCTATGTCTTACACATTGCCCACCAAGCTGTATCTTGTCTATCCCCTGCAGTTCAGTTCCGCTGACACTGACCGCCATTTTCAACATAGATAGGCATTTCATCTGTTATTTGCCACACCGTTTTTTTTTCTGCAGTGTCAGGAAGCAAATCCAGTGTTTATACTTCCAAAGCAAAACTGTAGCTCGACCAGTGAGCAACACATCCTGTCTAACTAATCGCCTTTCTCAGATCACTTTCTCCTCTTTGCGTGCTTGGCGAACTGGCCAGCCTTCAGATTGAACTCTCTCCTCACGACACCAGGAAGATGTACCTTCTCTCTGAACTTGAAGACCAAGTCTTTGTTACACTTAATTGCACATGTGTAATTTGATTTAAAATTCTGTCCAGACTAGAGAGATGGCTCAGCAGTTAGGAGCACAAACTGCTCTACCAGAAGACCCAAGTTCAATTCCCGGCTCCCACACCAGGCAACTCACAGCCAGCCGCCTGTGACCCCAGTTCCCTCTAGCTTTCACATGGGCTTACCCACACAAAGGTAATGAAAATAAAGTAAGTCCCGGAGCTGGAGTCCCGGAGCTGGAGTCCCGGAGCTGGAGTCCCGGAGCTGGAGTCCCGGAGCTGGAGAGATGGCTCAGTTCAGAGCACTACTTACTCTTCTTGTGGATCACAGTTCAATTCTCACCACCTACACTCACAAAGGTCTAATTCCAGCTCCATGGGATCAGATGCCCTCTTCTGGACTCCTTTAGCACCAGACTCACACATGGTAAATAGACAAGCAAATACAATAGCTATCAAGCCAGGCGGTGGTGGCGCACATCTTTAATCCCAGCACTTGGGAGGCAGAGGCAGGCAGATTTCTGAGTTCGAGAGTTCGAGGCTAGCCTGGTCTACAGAGTGAGTTCCAGGACAGCCAGGGCTACACAGAGAAACCCTGTCTCAAAAAACCAAACCAAAAAAAAAAAAAAAATACAATAGCTATCATAAGCATAAAAAGGATTTAGGGGGGAAAAAAACCAACAGGGTATGGTAATGCACGTCTTTAATCTCAGCACTCAGGAGGCAGAGGCAGGTGGATTTCTGTCCATTGAAAGCCAGCCTGGTCTACATAGTGAGTTCCAGGACAGCCTGAGCTACATAGTGAGACCATGTCTCAAACAAACCAAAAATAACAATAATAAAAAATAAATCTTAAGCCGGGCAGTGGTGGCGCATGCCTTTAATCCCAGCACTTGGGAGGCAGAGGCAGGTGGATTTCTGAGTTTGAGGCCAGCCTGGTCTACAGAGTGAGTTCCAGGACAGCAAGGGCTATACAGAGAAACCCTGTCTCGAAAAACAAACAAACAAAAAACACACACACAAAAAAAAAAATCTTAAAAATAAAAATCTGCCTCCCCTAGTAAAATATAAGTTCCAGAAGGATATGTTTGTCTCTGTACCTCATGTACTCTCTAATGGCAGAGTGTCATGCCAATGACTGACATGGAGTAGGCCCTGGATATAAAAATACAGAATTGTTGGACAACCTTAAGCCTCATGAGCGACCCATGATTCAGACCCACCTCGGATTCTGAACAACAGAATTAGCAGCCACTCTTGTAAATGAAGAAATAAACTGACACGTAGGGACGTATTCAGCTATAGTCAATCAGTTCAAAAGAATGCAGTGGAGTTTACAGCTAGTCGTCTGACTGCAAAGATTTTCTTCTCTACCCTTGCTCCCTCAGCTACTTCTCATCTCACTCAAGATTTCTAGACGGGAAGGAAAGAAAAGAAAACAGAAAGAAGATTGAGAGAGAAAGAAAAGGAAAGAATGTTAGGTGCTATAAAACCCCAGAACACTAGCTGCCTAAAATAAAAACCAGGATCCCTGGCTCAGGCAAGAGAGAGAGCAGTCTGTGAAGGCAAGGACCACAGTTCTACAGCACCCTCTGCTGTCCATCTTATTTGTTTGCACCCCAAGAGGCTGCCTGTGTCAGCCATGGGGTAATTGGGGTTTTACAGTTCTTGGTGGTGGGGGGGAACAGAGAAAAGAAATATCACCTCTCTCTACTTCCTTAATAGTTCAGGACTATATCCCTTGTCTGGGGAAAGTATTTTGAAAGGAACCTTAATTTAATCCTAGCACTCAAGAATTTTTGTGAGTTTGAGTTCCAGGATGACCACGGATACATAGTGAGACCCTGTATCAAAAATAAGTAGAGAAGCCGGGCAGTGGTGGCGCATGCCTTTAATCCCAGCACTTGGGAGGCAGAGGCAGGTGGATTTCTGAGTTCGAGGCCAGGACAGCCAGGGCTATACAGAGAAACCCTGTCTCAAAAAACCAAAAAAAAAAAAAAAAGTAGAGAAATAAATTTAAAAGAAACTTTTGTGTGATTTTGATTACAGTTAAGTTGGGCTTTGTTTTGAGACAGGTTTCCCCATGCATCTAAGACTGGCATGGAACCTTTGATCCTCCTGCCTCTAAGACCCCCAGCTTGAAGTGCCTTGCCAGGGTTCTCTAGAGGAACAGAACCAATATAATTTTTAAAATTATATGTATATATGTGTGTGTAATATCAAATATACATCATATATGTATATATAAAGAATTTAGCCGGGTGGTGGTGGCGCACGCCTTTAATCCCAGCACTTGGGAGGCAGAGGCAGGCGGATTTCTGAGTTCGAGGCCAGCCTGGTCTACAGAGTGAGTTCCAGGACAGCCCAGGCTATACAGAGAAACACTGTCTCGGAAAAAAAAAAAGAATTTATTAAATAAGCTTATAGTGAAATAGTAACAACAGTTGTCTCACACCTGAAAGGCTGAGAACCGCATAGCTGCTCGGTCCCTGGGCCTGGGTACATGAGCAGTCCCAATCTCGCACCAAAAACCGGATTAGCTGTTGACCGGTCAATGATGAAAGCCTACAAATGCTAGTTCAAAATCAGTCAAGGGACAGGAGCAGCTGCAGCAACAGAGTAAACGAACTCCAGAGAAGGTCAACTGAGTAAAACCCACTCTTCATTCAGCCATGGACTGCTACCTGAAACAGCCACACCACATTCTGGTGGGTGGGCTGCTTCTCTCCCATATCAGTTGCAGCAATCTGGATAACTCCTTGGGTGAGGCTCCTGCATGGTGATTCTGATTTGTGACAAGTCAACTTTAAAAGCAACCATCACACCTTCACATCTCTTTTGTTAGAAGATATACAAGAGGGGGCTGGAGAGATGGCTCTGGTTGCTCTTCCAGAGGTCCAGAGTTCAATTCCACCAATCATGTGGTGGTTCATAACCATCTATTATGAGATCTGGTGTCCTCTTCTGGTATTCAGATGTATAGGCAGATGGAGCACTTGTGTGTGTGTGTGTGTGTGTGTGTGTGTGTGTGTGTGTAAAATGAATCTTTTTTTCTTAAAAAAAAAAAAAGCTATATAAGAGCTTCTTATAAGACAAATATGGTGGTATGTGCCTGTAACTCCAGAACCCGTGGGAGGCTGAGACAGGAGAATTGTGAGTTCTGTGCCAGCCTAGACTATAAATTGAGACCAGGATGTGTGTACTATGGTGGCTGGACCCTAACACTTTAGTGAAAAAGTTTTAAGTTTTAGTTAAAAAGATTTAGAGACCTCACAGGAAGTTTGAGGTTCACATGGTCCTTCTACAATGGCCAAGGTTTGTAATGCAACACACTGGCCCCACCCCTCTAACTGTTGTCCCTCATGTATGTCTAGTCATCCATGGCTTGGAGATACATGACCATCCAAGCATAGGTGTTTCTGCTGAAACAGTAAAATCATCTGAGCCCCGGGGTTCAAACCCAGCCTGGACAACAAAGCAAGACCTCACTCCAAAAATAACAAACAAAGGCTAGTGGTCATGGAATACTCCTTTAATCCTAGTAGCTGGGAGGTAGAAGCAGGTAGATAGCTCTCTGTTAATTCAAGGCCAATCTGTGAGTTCCAGACTGACCAGGGCTACACAGTGAAGCCAAATATGACAATACGCATCTCTAATCTCAGCACTTAGGACAAGATATCAAGAAAGAGTTCAATGCCAGCCAGGGCTGTTGAGATGGCTCAGTAGTTAAGAGCACTGACTGCTCTTCCAGGGGTCATGAGTTCAAATCCCAGCAACCACATGGTAGCTCACAATCATCCGTAATGAGATCTGATGCCCTCTTCTGGTGTGTCTGAAGACAGCTACAGTGTACTTACATATAGCGGGCCGGAACGAGCCTCTGGATTCGTACACCATTTGTAAAAGTGGGTCAGTCATAATCCCACTTTGACAGGGTTTATGTGGGGATTAGGTGGGAAGAAATAAAAAACATTTGACAAATTATAAAACATTATACAAATGTTAGATACTCTTAGAAAAAGCTTTTTTTTTAAAGAGGAAGAGGAAGAAGAAGAAGAAGAGGAGGAGGAGGAGGAGGAGGAGGAGGAGGAGGAGGAGGAGGAGGAGGAGGAGAAGAGAGAAGAGAGAAGAAGAGAAAGAGCTCCCGGGGGAGGAGTTTTAACTGATTCTTGGGCCTGCCTTCCAGCCATCTAACTACCAGTGATACCAAGAAATGGAACAAGTCCCTCATTACCCTCTTCTCTGTCAACACACAGAATCAGAGAACATAAACACATATGCGCATGTGCAAGCAAACACACATACACTCACACACACACACACACACACACAGGAAAGAACATCAGAGAGGCCAAGGGAAGACTTATAGATGCACAGTACAGAATTCTGTTCCCAGCAGTGTTATTCACTGACTGATGACCTTGGGAACGTCCCTTACCTTTCAGGATCTCAGTTTCTTTCTTTCCTTCTTTCTTTCTTTCATTCTTCTTCTTTTTAATTTACTTATTTTATGTATGTGAGTACACTGTCATTCTCTTCAGACATACCAGAAGAGGGCATCAGATCCCATTACAGATGGTTGTGAGCCACCATGTGGTTGCTGGGAATTGAACTCAGGACCTCTGGAAGAGGTCAGTGTTCTTAACTGCTGAGCCATCTCTCCAGCCCTAGTTTCCTTATTTTTAAAGAAAAGTCTGGACTGGGCATGGTGGCTAATACCTATTATCCCAGTACTTGGGAGGTTGAAGGAGGAGAAATTGAGGCTAGCCTAGGCTACAGAGTGAGACCTTGTTTTAAAAAACAAGGGGCCAGTGGGTGAAGCTCAGCTGTGAAGTGCTTGCCCAGCATGCACTGGGTCCCAGGTTAGGTTTCTAGAAGTATGTAACACTGGCCAAAGTGGGGTGTGCCTGCAATCCCAGCACTTGGAAGGTAGAAGGAGGAAGAGGTCTTTTTTTTAGAAACATACCAAGTTCAAGTCCAGCCTGGTACTTATATATATATATTATATGTTCTATTAAAAACAAAGGAAGGAATAAAGAAATGAAGATAGTCTAGGTCGTGGGCCACAGAGATTCCCAGAGTTTGGTCTCTAGTCCCCTTCTCTCCCCCACACCCCACACATCCCCACTTAATTTCCACAGCAGAATTGTTTGCAGAGCAATCCATACAGGAAGAGAAGTTTTAGCAAGAAATCCCCCTGGCTTCCTACACATGCAGAGATCTTGGGCATCAGAGTGTGAGGAAACAAGGCTGGAAGAGAAGGAGCCAATAGGGTTTGGCCTCAGGTGAGAACCTCAGCAGTGTCAGCACTGATGCCTTAGGGCTTCTTTCAAGAATCAACTCCAGGAGACACACCCACGGGGGAGGCAGAGGCAGGCAGATCTCTGAGTTCCAGGCCAGCCTGGTCTACAGAGTGAGTTCCAGGACAGCCAGGGCTACACAGAGAAACTTTGTCTTGAAAAAACAAAACCTTGGGCTGGAGAGATGGCTCAGTGGTTAAGAGCACTGACTGCACTTCCAGAGGTCCTGAGTTCAAATCCCAGCAACCACATGGTGGCTCACAACCATCTGTAATGAGATCTGATGCCCTCTTCTGGTGTGTCTGAAGACAGCTACAGTGTATTCATATATAATAAATAAATAAATCTTTAAAAAAAAAAAAAAAAAGAAAAAACAAAACCAACCAGCCTCTCTATGTCCTCTTCAGACACTAGACACACAAATGTGAATTTAAAAATGGGAAGAGAGACATTTAACTCCAGTGCTCAGGAGGCAGAGGCAGACGAGAGGCAGGCAGATTTCTGTGAGTTCTAGGACAGCCTGGGTGTATATACCCAGGCCAGCTAAAGGTATTTAGTGAGACCCTCTCTCAAAAGTCGGTGGGTAGGAGGGGCTGGAGAGATGACTCAGGGAGTAAAGACACTTACCAACAAACCTGACAACCTGAGTTCAAGTCCCAGGAAAGAGGGAACTGATTCCCACAAAGTTAACATTTGACTTCCAAATACCCCAATAAATAAATAAATAAATAAAATCTTAATTTTAAAATTCAGAAAACAAACAAATAAAAAAGTGGGGAGGAGAACGAGAGGGACTTGTTTTCACAAAGAAGGGAAAAGTTAGGATGATAAGAAGAATATAGAGAGACAGAGGTAAAGCTGTTCTCTTTCTTTTCCTTCCTCCCTCACCCCACCCCATCCCTCAGAGCTGCTGGGCCTAGCTCTGAGGGCAGGAGGAGAAAGACTAGGGTCAGCAGGGGACTCCTCTACAAGTCTCCAGCTCGGCCACTGTCCCCAGGGTAACCCAAAGGAGATAGCTTCATCCCTGGGCCTTATCTACTCTTCTGTAAGGAAGTGTCATTTCAGCTCTGAGGTTGAGTGAGGGATGGAGCAGCTGCATTCTCAGGCAGTGGGTGTCTCTGAGCTTTAGTGTCTGTATCTCAGAAGCAGGGATAGAATCACCTGTACTTGGCTGTGGGATTCATTGAGCTTACATGCGGGAAAAACACTTTACGAACTTCCAGCCTGCTAACAGGCTGATTCTAGCTCTCCTGGGCACTCTCTGCCCCACCTTTACCATTCCCCATCTCAACACCATTAAGCAGCAGAGCAGAGCACACTGCCAGGACACGCAGCTAGCTCTTTATTATCCTCATTGCAGTTGCTGCCAGGAGGCCAAGTGGGGCAGAGGGGTAGAGGGAGGGACACGGATTCATCTCTGGTTGCTATGGTGCCCCAGGACGGATTTGCCCATCTCTCCTAATGGAGCAAAGGTGGGGGTGGGGGGTGAGGGGTAGGGAGAGAACAACTGGTCCTCTCCCTTCCCCTCTTCTCTCTCTGGAGCAGATGTGGGGTGTGTGTCAGTGTACTGGATCAGAGTAGAGAAAAGAGTAGTATGCCAGGATTAAGAGGTTTTGAGATGGGGGGACACTCTGAGTGAGGAGGGGCAGGGCCCTCATACCTATAACCAGAAGCTAACTGGTGGCGTTAGAGAGGGGGAAAACACAAAACAAAATAGGCTACAAGGTGAGAGAGAGAGAGAGAGAGAGAGAGAGAGAGAGAGAGAGAGAGAAGGGAGGAGGAAGGGAGGGAGGGAGAGAGGGAGGGAGGAGAGAAGGTGTGGAGTCAGACTGTATCCCAGCGTCTGCCCGCATTCTTCTGAGCCACCCAAACTCTAGACAGCCTAGACACCAGGGATCTGAAAGCAGTTGAAAAATGGACGCCGGGGCAGCGGTCATTTCTTCTCTTGCTTGGGGGCTTCTGAGCTGCTGTTTCCTCTGCAGCGGGGATCTAGAGAGCCAAAGGTCCTTGCGCTCTCTGCCTCCACTACCCTCCCAAGCCAAGGCAGGACCTGGGTCTGCATGGATGCCCCCAAAGGGGGCTGAAGCAGCCCTGGCTTTTCTCTACTCTGGAGACGTTCAGCAGCTGTCAGGAGCAAACTGCAGCAAGAAGTATGAAGTTCGAGGGGCCGAAGGCAAAGCTGGAGTCCCCCCAGTCCTACAGAGAGCAGTGGGCACCCTATCCCAGGCTGCCAACTTTCTCAACATGCTCCTACAAGCCAATGACATCCGGGAGTCAAGCGTGGAGGAGGATGTGGAGTGGTATCAGGCGCTCGTTCGGAGTGTGGCAGAGGGAGACCCGAAAGCCTACAGGGCTCTGCTGACCTTTAACCCTCCACCAGGGGCCAGCCACCTTCAGCTGGCCCTGCAGGCTACTCGGATGGGGGATGAGACCATCCTTCAAGACCTGTCTGGGAACAAGGTACAGGAAGAGAATCCAGAAGAGGATCAGGATAGTCCTGTCCTCCAGAAGCGCATACTGACCAATGACCTAAGGAGTCTTGACAGTCCCAAGTGGCCACGGGGGGATGGATATGTGGGGGACATACAGCAGGTGAAGCTATCTCCTCCCTTCCTGGAATGCCATGAGGGCCGGCTCCGTCCTGGCTGGCTAGTCACAGTCTCGGCCACATTCTATGGACTCAAGCCAGACCTCACCCCAGAGGTCAGGTGAGTGAGTTTGGGAAGGAGTTGATGGATCTGTGAGGATAAGGGGGCCACACGTCTACTGCACTATGCAGAAGCCACTTGGCAAGAACATGTGTATGTCTAGGGGGCACAGATGTGTGTATGCATTCTGCTGTGTCTGTTTGCAGCTGGCACTGGGAATCTGTAACTATTAACACTCTCAGGTGTGCGTGCTGTATATGAACCAGATAATTCATGCATATTTATCTGGACATCTATCGGTTTTGTTATTGTTGTATCTCTGTGTGTGTATGTCTTCATTTTATTATGTTTTCTAATAAGACAGTTTCTCATGTAGCCAAGGCTGACCTGTAATCCTGATTCTCCTGCCTTGGCTCACAAAATGTCAGGATTGCAGGCAGGTGCCTGGGTATCTGTTGCTGCTGTTTATATTTTAACACAAGGTGTTCCTGTGAGCATGTGTATCTACAGATAAATACATGAACATCTATCTGTGTGTGTGTGTGTGTGTGTGTGTGTGTGTGTGTGTGTGTGTGTGTGTAGAGAAGGACAGGTCTTGGTTCTCAGGTCTGAGGTAGACTGAAGAGTTAAGACCTGAGAACTTGCTGGCAGTAATTATCCATGTTCCTGGCTTCTCAGAGGAACCACGTGGACACTCTAGGAGGCTTCCCACGAGAAGAAAAATTCCTGGACAGGGACTTGGAAGCAATGCCCTTTCTGTCCAGGAGTTGGCTGAGTCCCCAGTGTCATTGTCAATGACAAGGCTCTTGGTAGAGCAGGCCCCATTATCTAATCTAGGCTACCACAGTGCTTCGTGATATTCCTCAAAGAACTGACTCTGCCTTCATCTAGAGTAAAGGGTCAGTAGCCCCACTGGGAAGCAGGAGGCAAAGGAGCACAGCAAGGTCAGGCTCCCAGCAGGCAGGGTTGCTTTGCCAGGTCTCTGCCCCCATGTATTGTTCCCAGCAGGCATCCTGGCTCCTTGCCAGAGCGCTCCCAATTCAGTCACAACAGAACTCCTCCATTCCAGGGCTCTTTAGCTGTGATCAGTTCAGACCTGGCCTGGGCGAGCAAAGACGTGGTAAACAGTTGAGTTGTATGAGGCGTGTGTGTGTGTGTGTGTGTGTGTGTGTGCGTGCTGCAGCCTAGTAGAAGAGGGACTGTCACCACAGACACAGGGTTCATGGCACTGGAGATCATGTGTGTGTGTGTGTGCTAAAGTGTGCAAACAAAGCCTGCACTATCCTCATAGTCTGTGGCAGTCACCTCAACATCCCCACTGTGACTATAACTGCCAATTTGCTGCCCTAGGGGACAGGTGCAGATGGACATCGACCTCCAGGATGTGGACATTAACCAGTGTGCAGGTGGCCCGGGCTGGTACTCAAACACACACCTGTGCGACCTCAACAGCACCCAGGCAAGGAGCATCGGTTCAGTGAGCCCTGCCTTCACTCCCCTTCCTCATCACTGTCAAAGCCACCCTGCCATCTCAGGGCTTCAAGGTGGTCCCAAGTGATTGGCAGAGGTGAAAGCACAGGCTTTTGTAAAGCGAGGCCAATGTACAGCCTACCCCATCCCTTCTACCTCTCCCCCAAAAAGCTGCTCTTCAAGCCCGTGAATCCTCAGTGTGCCTCCCTGCTTGCCCTTCATTCTGGTACTCAGCACTCCAGGGTTATTTTGTATTATTATTATTATTATTATTAATTACTTTATGTGAGTACACTGTCTTTAGCCATACCAGGAGACACCATCAGATCCCTTTACAGATGGTTGTGAGCCACCATGTGGTTGCTGGGAATTGAACTCGGGACCTCTGGAAGAGCAGTCAGTGCTCTGAGCCATCTCTCCAGCCCCCAGGATTCCTCTTTAGGGCAACTTCTGAGACAGAAGCTTTCCTTCTCCTAGGCCACATGCTTCATGTCAATACAGCTCTGAGCTCCTCATGGTTCACAGAGTATGCTCCATTGGTATTCACGGATGTTAATGGAATTGCTGGCGGGTGTAGGAGGAGGCTAGCCACAGCTCAGAAAGGTCTGGGACTGTTGAAGGTGACAAACTCCAAGCCATCTGCAGGATCAAAGCCCTTTACCTCAGAGATACCTATTCTCAGCCACTGACCTCAGCCATGTGCTCAGCTTCTCTGCCCACCTCTGAGGCCATGCGCTGTCCCCCCTGCTGAGCAAACATCAATAAGGGGAGGTAAAATAAAGAGCTGACCTTGGCATCCCCCACCCCAGCCTGGTTTAAGGCTGAGAAGAGTAGTCCTATGCTAAAGGCAGGTGGTCCTGATGGAAGTTGCCCCTCTCTCTGGGAGTCTTTTTAACATCCCTGTCTCAGGGTTACTGTTGTGTTGAAACACCATGTGACCAAAGCAACTAGGGGAGGACGGGGTTTAGTTCACTCCTAGTTCATAGTTCATCATTGAAGGTAGCCCGGGCAGGAAAGTCAAGCAGAGCAGGGACCTGGAGGCAGGAGCTGATGGATGCAAAAACCATGGAAGGATGCTGCTTACTGGGTTGCTCCATATGGCTTGCTCAGCCTTCTTTCTTATTGAACTCAGGACCACAGCCCAGGGATGGTTCCATTCACAATCATTAGCTAAGAAAATGCCCTACAGATAGATCTTATAAAGGCATTTTCTCAGTTTGGGCTTTCTTCACTTTCGATAACTCTAGCTTGTGTCAAGATGACATAGACTGGGCTGGAGAGACGACTCAGAGGTTAAGAACACTGTCTCTGCTCTTCCAGAGTTCCAGAGTTCAATTCCTAGCAACCACATGGTGGCTCACAACCATCTCTAATGAGATCTTGCGCCCTCTTCTGGCATGCAGGCATACATGCAGGCAAAACGCTGTATACATAATAAATACATAAATCTTAAAAAAAAAAAAATGACATAGACAAGTTATCACATCACCTGTGAGTACCAAGTGGGGTGGGTCATGGGAACCCTGTGAAGGAGGGTGTAGGTACACAAGGTATGATGGAGCCCTGAGCTCTCTCTGTCTTCGCCCCCTCTGGTACCCAGCCCTACCAAGAGCTAGGCACCAGGAAATAGGACTCAAGGTCCCTGCTACTGCCAGTCTGAACAAAAGAGTTATGCATCCTGTAGTCTTTTCTTAGATAACCCTTGAAAAGGCCTAACAGCAGAGATGGACAAGTTTCCAGAGGTGGAAGGGCTGGGCAAGAACCAGAGAAAGCTTCTGGTGAAATCCCCTACTGTAAACACAGAAGCCATGGATGGAGGGGGCTCTTTGCAGCTGGGAAAGCTTCTGGAGAAAAACATCGTCAAAACAAATATCATTTGTCATCCCCACAGTGTGTCCCTCTGGAGAGTCAGGGTTTTGTCCTTGGCCGCTATCTCTGTCGCTGCCGACCTGGATTCTATGGAGCTAGTGGTTCTAGGGGTACGTAAGTGTGAAGAGAGCTAAGCAGAGGTTTTGTAAGCCAAGGTAAGTTGGGATGGAACATCTGTGGAAGAAAGGTGAGTTGAAGGTGAGCCTGGGAGGAAGTGGGGGCTCAGCAGGAGAGAGCCAAGAGGAGAGGCTGGGTGGGGTGGTGCAAATTTGTCCCAGCACTTGGGAGGCTGAGGCAGGAGGACTGCCGTGAATTCAAGGCCAGTTTGGGCTTTGTCTCAAGAGAAAATGGGGGTTGGGGTGGGGAGGGAGAAAGAGAAAATGAGAGATCAGCAGGGCTTTTTGTAGGTGTCTGCCTTCTGAGGACAAATCCACACACATGAGACACGTTAGCCTTAAGCCTGACATCACTTTTTCCTGATACCCTGTCCTTCATGGGACATACTCCTTGATTTTTATTCCTGGGGGCATAAACTACAGGAGGGCATGAGGCCCTCAGGACCCAAGGCTAAAACTTCAGGTGTGTCCAGCCAAGCTCTCCTCCTTATACCCCTCTTGTTCTTTGCAGGGTTAGAAGAAAGTGCAACTCAGACTGCCGGGCAATTTGGGTCCCCACAAGGCAGCTTAGGGAAGCTGCTACGGTGCCAGCCGTGTCCTGAGGGCTGCACCAGCTGTCTGGATGCCACACCGTGCGTGGTGGAGGAAGCCCTGGCACTGAGGACGGCAGTGCTGGCATGCCAGGCCTGCTGCATGCTGGCTGTCTTCCTGAGTATGCTGGTCGCCTACCGTTGCCGAGGGAGCAAGGCAAGAAGAACCCCCATCTTCCTCTACACACACATCCAACCCATCTCAAGTAGAGAACTAAGTCTTGGGGAAATAAATGTCAGTCTTTCTTCTTTACATCAGGATGTGCAACATTAGAAAGTGACCTCTCTATCTTAGACCTGTTTCTGCCTCTGCAACATTGTATTTGATTCAATAGATACTAGTAGAATGCCTACTCAGTTCGAAATACTACATAGACACTCTGTAAGAGAAGTAGCCTGATCCCTGGGGCAGGGAGGAAGCTACGAGACAGGGTAAGGACGGAGGTCCCTGTGAGAGCTGGGAGAGGGGACCCAGTTCTTCTGGAGGAGACGGCATGGGAGAAAGTATAAAAAGCCTGCTGGAGCCAGGCTTGAAGGTTAACTAGTTTTTTCGGCGAAGAAAGGGGGAAATTTTATTCTAGATCAAGGTACGGTCTGACCCAAAGCTCAGAGAAATGCCAGAGGCCCTTTCTCCCTCCAGCAACCTCTGCTGTGAGCCCAGCACTGTCCTTGGTGAAAGTATAGCTAGAGCCTGGGGTGAGACTGGACAAGCAGCTGTGAACGGAGGGCAGAGCTAGTGTATGTACGGGGAAGCCCAGGGCCAGGTGAGCCTCCTGATAGACCCAGGCCAGTCTTGGTGCTCACACTCTGTTCACACCTATCTCCTCTGGGCTAACAGAGGATCCGGGCATCTGGAATCGTCCTGTTGGAAACCATCCTTTTTGGATCCTTACTTCTCTACTTCCCGGTGAGTCTGTGACCTGTAGTCACCTCTCTTCTTCTTTTTTTTTTTTTTTTTTTTTTTTTTTTTGGTTTTTCCAGACAGGGTTTCTCTTTATAGCCCGGGCTGTTCTGGAACTCACTCTGTATGTAGACCAGGCAGGCCTCGAACTCAGAAATCCACCTGCCTCTGCCTCCCAAGTGCTGGGATTAAAGGTATGTGCCACCACCGCCCAGCTGCCTCTCTTCTTAATACCCCCACTCTTATGGTGCTGGAGAGATGGCTCAGCAGTTAAGAGCACTGACTGCTCTTCCAGAGGTCCTGAGTTCAATTCCCAGCAACCACATGGTGGCTCACAAACATCTGTAATGGAATCTGATGCCCTCTTCTGGTGTGTCTGAAGACAGTGACAGTGCACTCATATGCATAAAATTAAAAAAAAAAATACCTCCACTCCCAAGCTGTCCCCCTCCTTTAAGAATTCTTCCCTTCCTTCCTAGGAAGATTTGGGATTAGGTCCCACCCCCATCTATTCTCACAAAATGGCTGGCCTAGTGAGACTGGAAAAAGGTTTCTGACCTTCTGGTTTAGGACATTTTTTATTTAAATTCTGCACAAGGGAAATTCGAGGCCTCCACCGTGGGGCTGCCGGGAAGACTGGTCATGTGACGCTCTAGACTGGAGTAAAAGCGCAGAGGAGAACAGCTATCTCTGTCCCTTTGCCACCCACCAGGTTTTTATCCTGTACTTCAAGCCCAGCGTATTCCGCTGCGTTGCTCTCCGCTGGGTACGGCTCCTGGGTTTTGCAGTCGTCTATGGAACCATTATCCTGAAGCTTTATAGGTAGGGCCCTGACAGACCTCGCCACTGCTCTGTCCACCCCCAGGCCACCCAGCTAGCTCATTCACACAGTGGAGTTTTTCAGTCAGACTTTTCCTGGTACCACCCTGCTGCAACCAGCCTCAGTCACTCAGCTTTTCCATGTAGCTTTTTGGAAAGGGCCCTGAAGGTGTAAACCGGTGGAGGGCTGGGAAGCGATGGACAGAGTTCTGGGCTCTGGCCCCATCTTCCTTGTACCTTATTCCCCTCAGGGTGCTCCAGCTGTTTCTGTCTCGAACTGCCCAGCGGGGGCCGCACCCAAGCAGTGGGCAGCTGCTACGGCGTCTAGGACAGCTCCTGCTGCTGGTACTGGGCTTCCTGGTTCTGTGGACAGCAGGGGTCCTGGAGCCAGGCATTCAGCACACACCTCTGGTGACACGGGGTCACACTCCCACCGGCCGCCACTTTTACCTCTGTCACCATGACCACTGGGACTACATCATGGTTGTGGGTGAGCTGCTTCTGCTGAGCCCAACCTCCTCTAGCCTCTGACTATTCACCTCCAGGGTGTTCCTTGTGCTAGCTCACCCTGGGTCTGGGCTACCCTGCACACTTGGTATTGGAGAGGCTCAGCAGGCTGCTGGAGTGGTAAGGGATCTCTGTCCCCAATCTCCACAGCGGAAATGCTGCTGCTTTGTTGGGGCAGCTTCCTCTGCTATGCCACCCGGGCTGTCCCCTCAGCCTTCCACGAACCGCGCTACATGAGCATTGCCCTGCACAATGAGCTGCTGCTGTCAACTGCCTTCCACACTGCCAGGTGAGAACCAGCCCGTCCTCCTGAGACTCCTCCCACCCAGCTAAACGTTCCCCACCTCCAGGTGAGGGGTCCACCTAACCGTAATCCCTGCAATCCTGCTATGCCCAGCAGGACCCCAGATATACCCTTCCTAGACCCCAGATCTCTGACAGAAGAGATACCCAATCCACAAGAGGAAGTTCCTAATTCCATGTCTCGATCCTAAATGTTTTTTCCTCAAGCCCCTTGCTCTCTGCTTACTCCTTAGCCCTCAGAGCAGCAGGCCTGCTGTGGGCCCTGGGTCTGTGGTGGAAGCCGATGCAAATCACAGGGTGGTCTCAACAGAGTCCTGAGCACAGTGCTATCTCCTAGGCAGGCTGAGGCGGTGGGGTGGAATCTCTTAGGAGAACTCCTCAGAAAATGAAATGAATGGGAACCTTGGGATTATCTCTATGATCCAGAGAGGAAGGAAAGCGTGTTCTGCTGGCCACTGCCAGAAGGGGCGGGGTTGGGGCAGGATCAGGAGCTGGGGCCAGGGCAGGGGCAGGGGCAGGGGCTGGGGCTGGGACAGAGAGTTAGTGAGGGGAGGCAGGCAGGCTGCTCCCACCTACAGTGATGATCCTGCCCCATCTGGCCCTCAGGTTTGTGCTGGTTCCTTCCCTGCACCCAGACTGGACACTTCTCCTCTTCTTCCTCCATACCCACAGCACGGTCACAGCCACACTGGCTCTGATCTTCTTCCCTAAGGTAAGGTCTTTTGGTAAGGAACGCTATGGCCCTGATACCTCAGCACCCTCGCCAATCAAGAATGCCGAGCATCCCAGGCAAGGACTTGGTTGGAAGAGGAGCTAGTAGTCCCTGCTTCCAGTTCCCAGCAAGCAGCATAGAGCTACAGGTAGAAGAGGAGTATTTGGGGGAGTTCTGCTGTCGCTGTTGTTGTAGTAGGGTTTGCTTTGGTTGGTTGGCTGGTTGGTTTTTTTTGAAACAAAGTTTCTTTGTATAGCCTTGGACGTCCTGGACCTAGCTCTGTAGAGCAGGCTGGCCTCTAACTCACAGATACCTGACAGCCTCTCTCTCCCCAGTGCTGGGAGCAAAGGTGTGCACCACCACGTCTGATATCCTTAGAATGACGCTGATAGACTCTGAAGGTGTGGAGAGCAGTTCACAGAGGCAGATAGAGAGCTGAAGACCATGCCTAAGGACACTGTGCTGGTCACTACTGAGGAGGAATGGCAGGGAATAACATACTCCGAAGTTTGGTTTCCGAACCAGGAAGGGGTGGGGGTGAAGACTCATGAAGTAAAGGCAGAGTAGGTTTGTCTCCCATCCCCTCTGCCTATCTTGGCCAGTTCTGGAAGCCAGGGGCACCTCCCCGGGAGGAGATCTTGGATGAAGTGTATGAGGATGAGTTGGACCTGCAGCGCTCCGGTTCCTACCTCAACAGCAGCATCGCCTCAGTCTGGAGTGAGCGCAGCCTGGACCCAGGGGACATTCGGGTAGGCTCCCCTTCCCCTCCCCCAATTTCTTTGATATCACCTTTTCTAAAAAAAATTATTATTATTTGTTTGGTTGGTTTGGTTTTTCAAGACAGGGCATCTCTGTATCTCTGTATATCAGAACCCTGACTGTCCTGAACTTGCTTTGTAGACCAGGCTGGCCTCACAGATATCTGCCTGCCTCAGCCTTCTGAGTGCTTGGCCTTGATACCAACTTTTAAGGACTGAGCAGAGAAACACAGCTGTGCTACCACTGGCTTGGGGTACCACTGAATCACCCCTAAGGCCTCCCTCCCTCCAAGACTGTACCTCCCTTTTCTGCTACCCTGGACTCCCCTGACTAATATACAACAGTATTGAAAAGAGCCCCCAAAACCCAGAAGACACAGGCCCAGCCAAGAGTGGACTCTTAACCCCATGTCATCATGGGGTGGAAACAGACTAGAAAAGCCTTGAGTCCCTAGCACAATGGAGTGGCCATCAGGATCCACTTTCTTTCAGTGTGCCTTAGGAAAAAGTGGCTTTCTAGAGGTTAGCTCTGAGGAAGCAGGCTCCCTCTTATTTTTCTTCTCAAGAGCATTATATAGAGCCAGGAGTTGGGAGAAATCAGAAGACATTGTGGTTTTATATATAACCCAAGGCAAAGAAGCCATGTTGGGAAGCCACCTACCTACCCTTTACATCTCCCAGACCCTCATCCCAGCAGCCTCTGCAGATCTTCCCACAGCCTCTTCGTCTTCTGAGCTCTGCCTAGTCTGCCTCTGTGCTCCTCTCTGAACCAAAGCCATACACCACTTCAGTCCCTCCCTTTTCAGACTTCAAGCCAATCTTTCTCCCTTTTTTGGGGAGAAATTCAGAGCACAAAAGTCTTCATTGGCACTGGTGTGTAGCACTCTTCCACCCACCTCCTAGAGTGTTCTAAGGAAGTGAACTCGGGACACATGGAAGAAGATGCAGAGGTGCCAGGCATGGTGGCGGGTGCCTTTAATCCCTGCACTTGGGAGGCAGTGATAGGTAGATGAAGGGCAGCCTGGTCTCCAGGACTGTCAGGGCCACAGATAGAAACTTTGTCTCAAAACAAACAAACAGAACAGAACAAACCAAAACCCCAATGATACAGAGACACAGAGAGAAGACAACAAAATAGCTTTGAGATACAGGTGGGTTAGAAGGCTCATGCCCAGCCCTTCCCCCATGCTGGACATTTCCCAAGAGATCACAGTGCCCCAGAGAAGTGAGAACACTCTGAACCATGAGGGCTAAATGGAACCAGATCAGAACCAGCTTGGCTCTGGTCTTGCAGCAACAGAGTGGTGAATTCTGAGTTTAAGAAACAAGAACGGGATACAACTTGGTAGAGAAGTGATTCCCCAGAGAGAATAGTTTAATGGAGGGTGGGGGAGGCGTGGCAAGGAGAGCACTGTTGGTGGGAGGAGGGCTCATTCATCTCAGAGGTGGCTCTGCTGCCGGTCCCCTTCCTTACAGGATGAACTGAAGAAGCTCTATGCCCAGCTAGAGGTCCGAAAGACCAAGGAGATGGCTGCTAACAACCCTCACCTGCCCAAGAAGCGGGGCAGCTCACGCCAGGGATTGGGACGCTCTTTCATGAGATACCTGGCTGAGTTCCCAGAGGCCCTTGCTAGGCAGCACTCTCGGGACTCAGGTTCTCTGGGCCTCAGCAGCCTGCCAGGCTCTTCTCGACGAAGACTCCTCAGCTCCAGCCTTCAAGAAACAGAGAAGCCACCAGCCCTCCGCAAGACCCGCAGCACTTATGACCACCACAGGGAGCATAATACTCTTCCCTTTGATTCCATGCTGAGCCGGACCCTGTCCAAGAAGGCCTCACCAACAGAGGGCCAAGAGTCGGTAGAGGGGCCCCCAGCCCTGGGCTTCAGGTCGGCTAGTGCTCACAATCTGACAGTGGGAGAAAGACTCCCTAGAGCCAGGCCCATCTCCCTGCAGAAGTCACTCAGTGTGGTGGCTGGCTCCAGGGAAAAGGCTCTGCTTGTGGCCAGTCAGGCTTACCTGGAGGAAACCTATCGGCAGGCAAAAGAGAGAGAGGAAAGAAAGAAGGCTGAGGCAGCTATGGTGAGCCCGGTGCGGAGGCCATCGACCAGGAGGCTGGACCGTCCTCTAAGGGCTCCTCTGTCAGCTCCACCTTCTCCTGCCAAGAGCAGCAGTATGGACAGCTCTCAGACCCCTGGGAGGCCTCGTGAAGAGGCTGGGAGAAGGCTGCCTCACCCACCCATCCGGCATCAGGTCTCCACACCCATCTTGGCTCTGTCTGGGGCCTGCCTGGGAGAGCCAAGAATGTTGTCTCCCACCCCAGCCTCCACATTGGCTCCGGTTCTGTTGCCAGCCCTGGCTCCGGCCCCGCCCCCCGCCCCCGTTCTGACACCAGTCTCAAAGCCCCCCCAAAGCCCCTCCCTTCTCACTTTCATCTGCCCCTGGGAGAATGTAGAACTGCCAGGCAAGAAAGAAAATGTGGTCCAGGAAGGCCCCGCAGGTCCAGAGCGAAGCGGCCACTCACCTGCCTCAGCTCGTACCAAGATCTGGAGGGCCCTGTCTGTGGCAGTGGAGAAAAGGGGGACTGGAGAGAGTGAGACCCTCACAGAGGGTGGACATGCCCAGGGGGAAGCAGATGATACGGATGAGGAAAAGCCCAAGGTCTTCTCAAAATCTCACAGCCTCAAGACCCCTCTGCAACAGGGTTCCGTGCGCAGCTTGAGCCTGGCCATCAAAGCTCTGACCCGTTCTAGGAGCACCTACAAAGAGAAAGATGGTGGGGAGGGCACCCCTGAGGCTGAGAAGGGAAAACCCACAGAGGTGAGCACAGGGGCTCCACCCAGATCTCCCAGGCTAAGCCGGCCTAAAGCAGTGAGCAAACAGGCTGCCCTTGCCCCCTGTGAGGATGAGGAGTCCCTCCAGAACCAACAGAATGCTCACACCAGCCAAATGCTCCACGTTTGTCAAAAGGAGGGCAGCCGAGAGCAAGAAGATAGAAACAAGAGAGCGTCCCAGGGTCCAGGGGAGCGGAAAGTTGAGAGAACCGGTAAAATAGCACTTGCCACATTGAGGCAAGTTTTGGGGGAGAAAAATGCTGAGCAAGCGAAGGAATCCCCTGTGGGATACCAAGAGGTGCCCAACCTTGCCCTCCAGCCCCTAGGCAGTGCTGACCACAGGGTGGCAGAGGTGTGCCCCTGGGAAGTAACTGAATTTGAATCAGGAATGGGCTCGCCAGAGAGTGTCAACAAGGCCAAAATCTGCTCCCAGGAGGGGACTGAAGGAGGAGGTCTTGAGAAGAAGCCATCAAGACAAATACTAAGTAGATCCTGGGAAGGGAGAGAGAAAGTCCCAGGAGAGTCAGAGCCTGAAGATGTGAGTGCCATTACTCGGAAGAAACCAGAGAGGCTAGTCCGGAGCCAGGAGGCAGTGTGTCCTTGGGAAAGCCCCGACTCTGGAGGTCTATCTCCTCAGTCGGTGCATCAGGATTCTGACAGAAGGCGGGGCCTGTCTGTGGTAGTGAGCAAAGGAGAAAAGCATCCAGAGGCTCTTTCACCCCATGCTGCCAAGGCAGAACTGTGCCCGTGGGAGATGACGGATGTGGGGGAGGGGACATCTGCTCAGAGGGTACAGGAACTCCCTGAAGAAAGGCAGAAATCCCCCAAGAAGGCAACCTTCTGGAGAGAACAGAATCTGGGTGGAGACCTGGTGTCCTTTTGTCCATGGGAAAGTACTGATTTTCGGGGCCCTTTAGCTGTCTCACTTCAAGCCCCAGGAAGCTCAGGGAGTTTTGGCAGTGGCTTTGCAGAGGTGTGTCCATGGGAGGCAGGAGATAGATCTAATGACAAGAAAGCTGAGGTCTGTCCCTGGGAGGTGGCGGACGAGCTAGCAGGTACAGAAGCACTGAATCAGGGAACAGATGGGAAATCTCTCCCAGGAAAAGAGACGGCCTCCAGAGAGGGGTGCTTGGCAGAGACAGGGGAACAAACTGTGAAGGCAAAACCTATAGTACATCAAGGGCAGGAGTCAGTGTGCCCCTGGGAAGATGAAGCGCCTGAGCAGTCCAGCCCACATCCAGACAAATCTTCCTCCAAGGCTGGTGAGAAATTCCTGAGCCATGGGGGCAGCCAGGTACTGCAAGTGTGTCCTTGGGAAGCCATCAAGCCAGAGGAAAAGCAGGCAACACCTTCAACAGCAGAAATCTGTCCCTGGGAACTAGATAGACGGACAGAGGACAGGACATCAGAACACTCACCTAAAGAAGAAGTTCAAAAAGATGTGGAGAAAATGCCTGGAAGAGCAAGAATGCAAGCCCTGGAAGAAGCTGACGGACAGGTCCTAAAGCAGGAAGCCATCTGTCCCTGGGAGAGCACAGACCATGCTAGCACCCCACAAAGAGACAGAGAGAAACCCCAAGTCACTCTCCAGAGGCAAGGCAACATGGGAGGCGTAACTGCTGAGATCTGCCCCTGGGATGTGGAAGAGACCGCTGAGAAGGCCAAGATCTGCCCCTGGGAAGTGGTCACTGGGGCTGGGGAGGAAAGGGCTGTTGGAGCTGAAGCTTCTGGGATCCCTCCAAATGATGCAGGTCAGACTTCTGCAGATTCTGCACCCAGGAAGGTAGCTGCTAGTGCTACGAAGAAGCCAGAGAGGCTGAGCCCGGAGAAGGAGGTGGTCTGTCCTTGGGACAGCTTGAGTCCAGGGGACTCCTCTCAGCAGCTAGACACTCTGAACACTGAGAAACTAAAAGATGAACTTCAGGACCATGTGAGCTCCAGGCCCATAGAGGTGTGTCCTTGGGAAGCAGAGGACATTCCTATCAGTGAAAAAGCCAAGATCTGTCCCTGGGAATTGAATGAAGGGACTGTGGGGAAAGGACTGGAGCAAGAGACAGGGATCGAGCCAGCACAGCAAAGGAGAAAGAGTCTAGAAAAGGCAGGAGTTCCCTTCCAAGAAGAAGACACATCAAAGGGGGACAGAAAACTCTGCCAGGAACAGGAAGAGGAAGCTATCTGTCCTTGGAAGGACAAGGATTTGAGGAAGCCACCTGCCAAGGTCTCCAAGGTCTCAGACTTGCCCCTCAGCACCATTAGTCAGGCAGCAGAGGGACAGTCCTTGGAAGCAAGTGACAGGCCATCAGAGAAGGCAGACCTGAGACAAGACCTGAAGACAGGTTCTCTCCCGGAATATACAACCCAAGGAAAAGCTCCAGCTTTAGAATCACAGGTCTCTATTGATAGAGGAGGAGCAAGCTCGGAACTCCAGCCTGTGGGTCTTAGGGAAAGCATGGTACCGGTACCGGCAGACTCCTCCTCCCAGCCACTCAGCGAGTGTCCTGACCGACCTAGAGCCAGCTCCCAGACACTGGTCAGCGCGGGGGTTGGGCCTGCTGAGGTGTGTCCGTGGGATGCTCCTGAACCAGATCTGTGTATACCCGACAGTGACACCAAGGTTGAGCTCTGTCCCCAGGTGACTGGGAGAGTTACAGAGATAGCAAGACAAGATGAAAAGAAGTCTCAAGAGGAGAAAGAAAGAGCCCCTGAAAAGGGAGACCATGAAGGTGTGTCAGTTCAGAAAACACCACAGACCAGCAACTTTGGGAAGCAGGAAACTCTGTGTCCCGGGGAGAGTCAGGACTTTGGGGTGCAAGCAGCTACAGATGCTTCTGATGGAAGCAAAGGGGAATTTGAGAAAGTGTGTCCTGGGGGAGTAGAAGAGGTTCCTTCTACTGAGAAAGCTGAGATTTGCCCCTGGGAGGCAGGTCCAGGAGCAGTGGGGGAGGGGGCGTTGGACCTGGGGCAGGATGGAGAGTCACAAGGGGGCAAAGGGGCTGAAAGACACTTCTTAAAAGCAGCAGAGGCCATCTACCCCTCAGAAGGCTCAGTGTCAGTGGGGCTCTTCTCCCAGGAAGATGCTGTGGACACAGACCACCCCAGGGTCAGTCTCCATGGAGCAAGCAGCCCAGGGAAAGGTATAGCAGAACTATGTGTATGGGAAGTCACAGACCCGGAAGGAAATAAAATCAAAGGCACCATGGCAGACATCTGTCCATGGGAGGAAACTAGAGCCCAATCTGATGAATCTAGCCTCCTGGCTTTACCAGTAACCCAGGCAAGTGTGCCTGCTGCCCCTGAGAAATCAATTTGCCTCTCAGTACACAGATCATTGGAGAGCTTTCTCCCAGAGAGCAAGAGTGTCCGCCCAGACGCCTGCAAGCCACCTGGTACTTTCCTCCTGGAAGATGTCAAAGAACAAGAACCTTTGGAATTTGAGCCTGGAGCCAAATCAGATCTAGAGCCAAGTCCCAAAGATACAGAGGCTCCAGAGTCTTTGTCCCTAATTGAAGACCAAGGACTAATGGCCTCTGAATCGCAAGCTGGAGAACTCGGTCCTCCACCTGACTATCCTTGGGACTGTGAATGATAGCACCATGGTGGGGTCAGAACTCCTTCAGGACACTTCCTGTGTTCCAGTGTTCCCAAAGAGCTAACTCAAAGATGCTTGGATACTTCCTCTGCCCAGGAGGCCAGATGCCAACCCATTCAGAAGGAACTGTAGAAGGGTTGGACCCCAGGGGACATTCCATCCTCCTCACTTCTCTCTCTCTCTGCTTCAGGAAACAAAAACTAGACTTTCACCTTCTAAAGAATTCTGCCATCCATCCAGAGTACCTGATACAACTGTTCAAATTGGAATTCTCACATTTACTCAAGGTAGCAACAAACTAAACCATTTAAGGCAGTAGCAATTTGGGGACTGTGGGCAAGAGAAGGCTATAGGGCCATGTAATTCAGGATGAAAGATGGAGCTGGAGAGATGGCTCAGTGGTGGTGAGCACACACTGCTCTTGCACAGGGCCCAGGATTGGAACTCAACAGCCAAGACAGTGGCTTATACCCACTCGCAACTCCAGGTTCAGGGGATCTTCCAATTTCTTCTTCTGATCTCTGGTCTCCTTCTGGTCTCTCATGTGCACATATATCCCCACAGAGACAGACAGATAGACACACACACACACATACACACAAAATTAAAATAGATATTTATAAGATGAAAGCTAACTCAGAGGAAAACAAAGACAAAATATGTGTCTGGAAAAAGCCTCACAGGCCTAGACCTTGCCCCTCTCCCCACCCCTTTCCCTGACACACGATCCCAGGCTGGTCTAAAACTCAGTAGGTAGCTAAGGCTGACCTTAATCTTCTGGTCCTCCTGCATCTACTTCTGAGGTCCAGGATTATAGGTGTGCATCACCATGGCCAGTTTACTCAGTGGTCACAGAGCTTCCTGTATGTGAGGCAAGCACTCTGTCAACTGAACTATATCCCCAGCCCAGCCTTTGTCTTTCTGTGGGTACGTGTGGTGCAGGGAACTGAACCCCAGTCTTCAGGAATACTAAGCAAGCACTCTACCACTAGGCCACATCCCCAGGTCAAGGGCCTTGTCTTTTGACTTGATTCTTCCATTTCTGCTTTACTAGTTCTCACATGTGCCCTGGCTGTTAGCTGAAGTAGCAACAGTCAGACGATCTGACATTTATGTCATAGCTGGCATCCAAACTGATGACAGAGAACAGAGAAGGAAAGACGCTCTCTCAGGGCCCTCCCCACACTGGACAGGGGTTCTTCCTTACCGATGTCCCCAGTAAACCTCTTCCCATCTTCCTGCTCCGGCTCTTGCCATGTCCAGGGTTCACCTCACCGCCTCCTCCTCCTCCTCCTCGTCTTTCTGTAGTCAGCAAGGGGACTCCCCCTTTTTAGTAAATGTAACTGGAGCCAAGGAGAGATCTCTGGTTCTCAAGTGAGAACCACTGTAAGCCACTCATACTCCTTCCTGGAGGAGCCGTTCTGGACAGTCAGAATCCCAACCACTATCAGAAAGAGTAGCACTCCCCGGGGCCGGGAAAGGCACCGCTTGAGTACAAAGCCTCCTTCTCAGCTGTCCACTCTCAGTTTGGCTCTCCTCTCCAAAGTTAAGGCTACCTTGCTGAAGCGGTGTAAGATGACAGGGTTGGTGTCAGATGATGTTACCAGATGAAAACTAGGAAGGAGAAAAACTTATACAGAGGTTCTGGCTTGAGAGAGGAAGATGGGGTGAAGATAGGCAGGCTAATGTGGCAAAGCCGACAGGGGCATTGAAGACAGCAGGCAGTCCCATCCTGACTATAGCGATATAGGTGCTGTTTAAGAGCTGGAAAACCTCGAGTGAGACCAAATGCTGGGTGAGAAAAACAGGAGTCTATATGCAAACGCTGAGCAGATACAGAGCCTCACAGAGAAAAGCAGTCAGACACTCCATTTCCAAAAGGGAACGGAAGAGAGTCACCTAGTCACCTTTGGGGGCCAGCTGCCCTCATTCCCACACTAAGCCCTCCTACCTACCCAGATCTCCTGCACCGGGTTTCTACAGCTGTATTGTTCTGGGCTGTGGCTACTTAACCCCACAGCTTCTGAGCTAAGGTAGACTGGTAGACTTCACTAACTGCACACCCCAGAGCAATCCCACTGAGTCTGTTCTAGCTGGAAAGAGTAAAGCTATCCCCATATTCACTGTTATAAATTGCCACCCAGAAAAATAATAAAGAGTGCTTGTTCTCAGCTCCTGTAGTTGGCTCCAGCTTATTTATACTGGTGGTTTTGTCAACAGAGGGACAGAAGACAGAACTGTACCTGCTCCAGGGTCGCCCTATGCCTGACAGGACTTGGAGTGGGGTGGTCCAGTTTATTCTGTGCCGGTGCTAACGGATGCTCTCTGCCTTGCTCTCCAAGCCAACCCTTCACATCTGGGGCCATTTGCTCAGCTGGATTTGGTCCCAGAGGAAATGAAATTGCACTTATCCTCTGGCTTCCTGGTGGCAGCCGTTGCTTAGCTGAGATTTAGGATTATCTAGAGACTCCAGTCAGATCCACAGCAGTGGGATGAACTAGCTTATCTGAATCACCGTTTTTCATAAATTCAAGAGAAATCAATGTTAACATTTGCCTATTAAGTGAGTTCTTTTGTTTCTCTGCTTCTCTTCCCTGCTGGGATTATCTCCCTTCCTTCTTACTCTCTGGCTAGGGATCCAGCTCAAAGCACTTCTTATTTTGCCTTAATCCAGGGCTCAGGCAAATAGGATGTGTCCAAGCCCCACTTGGACAGTAATGCTGTAAAATGATGCACACTTTAAGCCTGGAGGGTTGAGAGTAAACAGCGTGAGACCGGCTGCCTCAGAGTAGCCCCCCAGGTCTCAGGCCTGAGCACATGTATCCACCTGACTCTGTCTCCTCAGTCTATACACATGCTGTTATAAAAACACCAGGCTTGGGCCAGGGAGGTGGCTCAATGGGTAAAGCTATTTTGTCGTGCAAACTTGACAAAAATTCAATTCCTAGAATCCACACTGGAAAGCAAAATTTGTCCTCTGACTTCCATCTGAAAGCTGTGTCACATACACATTCACAGTCAAACACTCCTGCCCGGCCCCCCCCCCCCCCCCGGTCAGGCATCCCCTGTTTGCAGCTTTGTTGAGAGGGCAGGTTTGGAGAAATGACAGTTAGGCTACTTATTCCTGACCCAATTGCAGCTTCTTTTACCCTACTCTAGACAGATTAACTCTGGCCTGAAGTAACAGAGAAAATTTTAGTCTGGAGAAAAGTTAAGTATGAGAACGTAGGCTCTCACTGTTCCCGTCTGAACCCAGGGCCTTGTCCATGCAAAGCCAACGCTCCACTTATTGGCTGTATCTCCTGCGGGCCCTGTTTTTAAACAAGAATTCACTGGGTTGTGGAACTCAAAAGCACTAGGAACCAAACCTGTGGCTGGAAAACTGAGATTCCCCTTGTCATGCCCAGATCCCAGGACACTGAGCATCAACCCCCACCCCTTCTCCAAGCAGCCCCAGCGGAACAAGGTCTGGGCTGCTGCACTGCACACTGGCTTGCTCTCAGGTCCTGGGCTGGAAGGCATAGTCAGCATCTTTGTGAGGTATGACATCAGGACCAAATCTTACTGATTTCCCCAAGCACCAACCCTGCCTTGTCCCCACATCCTCCTAAATTTCCTGAAGCCACCCAGTGGTTTGTTTTTTGTTTGTTTTTAAGATAGGGTCTCACTGGGCTGAAGAGATGGCTCAGTGGTTAAGAGGATTGGCTGTTCTTCCAGAGCTCCTGAGTTCAATTCCCGGCAACCACATGGTGTCTCACAACCATCTGTAATGGGATCTGATGCCATCTTCTGACACACAGATGTACAAGCAGATAGAGCATTCATATATTAAATAAATAAATAATTAAAAAAAAAAAAGAGGTTCTCAGTGTATAGCCCTAGCTCTCCTGGAACTCCCTATGAAGATTAGGTTGGCCTTGAATGCACAGATCCACTTTCGTCTACCTGAATGCTGGTACACTTCCTTGGTAGTCTAGTCTAGCTGGGCAAAAAGGGGACAACGGGGTGGGGACAAGTCTAATAAGAATAGAATGCAGGCTGGGCATGGTAGTTCACACCTTCCATGAGAAGGATCATTGCAAGTTTAAGGCAAGCCTGGGTTACATATATCTAGTTTCAGGCAAGGCAGATCTAGACCTTATCTCCAAGAAAACACAACAAAATACATAAAAGCTGAAGGGCAGCCAGGCTTGTTAGTGCACACCTTTCCTTCCAGCACTCAAGAGGGGGAGGCTGGCAGATCCCTCAGTTCAAGGCCAGCCTGGGCCAGGACAACTAGGGCTGTTAACACAGAGAAACTCTGTCTGTGACGGGTGTTGGAAGTGGGGAGCTAAAGGACAATTCCCCCCACCTCTGGATTTATATATAAAATAAATAAGATAAAAAAATAATTTTAAGCTGGGTATGGTGTAGCACTCTTTTAATCCCAGACAAAGGGAGATGGAGGGAGGCAGATCTTTATAAGGGTGGCTAGCTTGGTCTACAAAGCAAATTAGAGAAATGTTACACAGAGAAACTCGATGAAAAAAAAAATTCTAAAAACACCCACTTTAGTAAGTATATTAAAGAGACCTTTTAAAATAATATGCTGGGATGGAGAGATGGCTCAGTAGTTTAAGAATACCTGTTGCAGGGGCTGGAGAGATGGCTCAGCAGTTAAGAGCACCACCCTGCTCTTCTAGAGGTCCTGAGTTCAATTCCCAGCAACCACATGGTGGCTCACAAACATCGGTAATGGGATCCAATGCCCTCTTCTGATGTGTCTGAAGACAGCTACAGTGTACTATATATATATATAATTAATTAATTAATTTAAAAAAATACCTGTTGCAGGCTGGAGATGGCTCAGTGGTTAAAAGCACTGACTGCTCTTCCACAGGTCCTGAGTTCAATTCCCAACAACCACATGGTGGCTCACAACCATCTATAATGGGACCCTCTTCTGGTGTGTCTGACAAGTTACAGTGTACTCACATGCATTAAAAAAAAAAAAAAAAAAGACTACTTGTTGCTCTTGCAGAAGATGCAGATCCAGTTACCAGCATGTACTTGGTGGTTCACAATCATCCATAACTCTAGTTCCAGGGGATCTGACACCCTCTTTGGACCTCCAAGGGCACCAGGCATGCATGTAGTACATAAACACACATGCAGACAGAACATTCAGATATATAAAATAGTAATACCCTATTTTTTGTTGCTGTCTGTTTGAGACAGGATCTAGGTAGCCCAGACTGACTTTGAGCTGTCCTTAGCCAAGGGTGACAGTAAGCTCCTGATCCTCCTCTTGCCCCGACTTCCCATGTGGGAGAGTGCAGCAGGATGCCCTAGTCTGTAGACACTACGTATTCTTCCTGGCTAGAGTTCCCGGAAGCCGCATCACTCATAACTACATCAGTCTCTCTTGCCTGACATCTCCCACACCTGACAGACATCACAGAACCGCTCCATCCGTTTGAACCAGGGAAAATGTACAGGACACACAGTTTATTCAACTCTTTGGCAGTATTTTATTCCAAATGCTGACGTGGCCTATAATTAGAAAAAAGAAAGCTGTCGGTCTGATCCCACAGTTCCTGCGGGGAAAGCCCAGTATGGTGTTCACTCTCTCTCCTGCTGCTTCTCATTTCACCTCAGAAGCTAAATATGGTCGTAAAAAGATACTCCATGCTGGGCATCCTAGTCACCTGGGCCATGACTGTAAGGGGCTGCGGGCTGCTGACCCAGGCAGGGTAGGACAGAGCAAGGGACGCTCTCAGGGTAGAGCTGATTTTGCAGCCCCACCACCGGGCACCCTCAGGAGTCTTTTTCTTTTTTTTTTTTTCTGAGACAGGGTTCTCTGTAGCTCTGGTTGTCCTGCAACTTGCTCTGTAGATCAGGCTGGCCTTGAACTCACAGAGATCCACCTGGCTCTGCCTTCTGAGTGCTGGGATTAGGTGTATGCCACCCACCACTGCCAGCTCCTCAGGAGTCACTCACACTCACGCCATCAGGCTTGCTGAGGCTTATGGGTGCCCCCTTGTGTCTCTTCGTACTCCTCCCAGGGTTTCAACTGAGGACCAGGAATCATCAAGGTCTGAAAAAAACAGGAGGAACTCAAGTTACCTACCAATCACACCAATTGTTTACTCAGAATGTCCTTCTTCCCTCACCAGCATCCAGGGAACGGTCCCCTTCCCTAGCGTCGCATCATTGCGTCTTGCCACTAGGCGGCGCCCAAGAGGAGAATTTGAGCATGACAAGGCTATCTACATAGAGCTTGTGCAAGCACCCTTACCTTGAGGATGGGCTGCTTAGGAGGTGCCCACGGGGGCACAATCTTGGCATGCATTCTCCAGCTCCCATATGGGTTCATCAAGTGTCTTTCAAACACCACATACTCCAGGACATCCTTGGGCACATCTTCCTGTCCATACATCAATCTGCCAAACCGATCATAAATGGCCAAAGTCTGCAATGATGAAATCAAAGCTGGCCTGTCAGAGGGTTTTGTTCTATTTTATTTTGCCATACAACTGTTTTTGAAATGATCTTAACCAAAAATTTAAATTAAAGAAATTAAAATTATGATTCTTAATTTAGAACTAACCGGTTGCTGACATAGTGTTCTTCAAGGGTCTCTGATGGAAGGGGGAGGGGGAGGGACCAACAACAGGAGGAGTAAAACCCTCACACCACATCTTGGTGGAGATAACACTTAGCAATGGCAAGAAGACCATGGCAAACTTTTCCTGGGAACCTACAGTCCTGGGTCAAGGGGTGGAGCACAGCAGTGGGAGCACTGCCCTAACATGCATGAGGCTCTGGGTTCAACCCCCAGAACCACAAAAACAAAAAACAAACAGCCGTGAGCTGCAGAGTCCAGAGACAGATGCCCAAGCTGAGAGCTGCAGTGATTCAAGTCAGTGCACATGCCTCCTGTGTTAGACACGGAGGGCTTCTGCCGGACCCCGGCCAACTGAATACCCCTGAGACCACTGAAGACTTGGCCTGCCAACCTACTGTGTCCTCAGCCTTTAAGAGAACAAAGTAACTCATGTCTTGGACTTCGCATGTGACCTGCTTTTACAGCCTAGGCTAACACACTTATGTACTTTTCCGTGCCCCTGACCTGGAATACCGTATACATGTATCCTGTGGTAATGATTCGCTGAAAGCCACTATATACAACAAATATCACATCTGAAATGTAACTAAAGTATCCAATTTAAAAACAAACAAACAAACAAATATCCCCCAGAAATGCTAGAAGGAATCTTGATAACATTTCTGTACTACCATTCACTTTCCTGAGTGCTTCAGGGTCAGTTGGGGTCAGCAAAGTTTGTTCCCTTGTAAAACTGTGTTAAAGATTTCTCTCAACACTCCATCATCTCCTTTCTATACCACTTTCTGTGCTATTCAATAAAAAGTAAAGCCCTTTGTCAGGGACAGACATGGCTGACAGTCAGACATCAAATGGCATGCAGGCAGGCACAGACACATTCAAGAGATGGACCATAGACAGGCCAGGAACCACAGCATACAGACAGGAAAGAAGTAGAGAATTCCAACTTGGGCTTGCTCTCGATCACACCATCCAAGAGGAAGCCTGAGATTTCACTGCAACACTGATGCTTTCTGGTGTCTCTGAGGGTGTCTTTACTGTCCTTAACACAGAGTAAAGAAAGGCTGGCGGGAACAACGGTGACTCTACCTGCCGAGTGTGCAGGCGCACGGTGACCTGGCCATACATGTTGCTCTGGTTCACTAGACCTGAGGAACGGACATGAACCACTTGGGCTGGCTCTAGAGATTCCACAAAGCTCCAGCGCACAGTCTTGTACTTGAGGTCCCAGACCATGTCCTGAGGAAGAAGAGAAGAGTTCACTGGGATTTCCCTCCTGAGAGGCACTGCCCAGCCACGTTGCAATCAACAGGAAGTGCCTCCATTGTAATCCTCCCCATTTTAGGGGTAGGAACGAGGCAGAGACAGGGACTCAGTCTGTAACCGGCAGTAATGCTGAGTCAGTCTTTCAAGCACTAGAACTACAGATGAAAGCCACTATGCCCAGCTCTCTGCCGAAGTTTCTATGTATTTATTTTTTATTTTAACTTTTTATGCACATAGATGTTTTGCTTGTATATGTATCTGTGTATCAGGTGCATGTTCATGGAAGTCAGAGAGGGTGTTAGAGGTCCGGGAACTGGAATTGCAGGCAGCTGTCAACTGTCAAGTGGATTCTGGGAACTGAATCTGCGTCCTTTGAAAGAACAGTTAGTGTTTTTAACCACTGAGACATCTCTCAAACTACCCATTGTGTTTTTAACCTTTCTATTTTTTTTTAAATTGTGTGTGTGTGTGTAGTGTATGCTACATGTATCTAGGTTCCCACAAACACTATGGTGTGGGGTCCCCTGAGGCTGGACCTATAGGGCATTGTGAGCCACCTGACATAGGTGCTGGGACCTGAACTCTAGTCTTCTGGAAAAGCAGCAAGTACTTAATCTCTCAGACATCTCTAGCCCTGCCCCCAAGTTCTGATCCAGCTACTAGGCATGCCTGCCTCTCCACTACATTCTTGTTAAAATACTATTGGAGATCCACCCACCTCCAGGATGAATGCTCTCTGCATCACTGAAAGCCCCTCCACACCAGCAGCTCCCCACGCACCACTTCCTCCTACTCACTGCCACAGCCCGCTAATCACCCATGTTTCCACTGGCGGTACACATGGTGTCTCTCTCTAAAGTTTTCTTACTTTACCCCTCACATGTCAGCAGCGAAAGGGAGTGGTTTCCAGAGCTGTTAGAACTACAACACATGAGGCACACTTGTCCCTGTGGAGACTGACAGAAACACAAGCTGAATTTGTAGAGAATGAAGTTTTTTTTTTTGGTTTTGTTTTGTTTGTTTTGGTTTTTTTTTGGTTTTTCGAGACAGGGTTTCTCTGTGTAGTTCTGGCTGTACTGGAACTCACTCTGTAGACCAGGCTGGCCTCGAACTCAGAAATCTGCCTGCCTCTGCCTCCCAAGTGCTGGGATTAAAGGTGTGCGCCACCACCGCCCGGCTGAGAATGAAGTTCTTATTCTAGAACCTCTGGCTAAACTACAGGGCCCCCATTCTTTGGGGCTCCTCAAAGTACTGGGTACCCCTGTCACTATCCAATTCAAAGTCTTGTGAATTTTGGCTAAAACTTTTCCTACAGGGTAAACATATGAAGCAGGATCTCACAGAGCTAACTCCCAACCTGAAAGATCTACACCCCGTGGTTCATTACTGCCCACTGAGGGGATTTCTCTTTCCCATTTGCCATGGCCCTCATCAGAATCTATGCCAAATCATGATTCAGCTGAAAATAAAGGACTTTGGTTGGAGAGATGGTTCAGCAGTAAACAGTATTGGCTCTTCTAGAGGACCCAGGTCCAATTCCTTGCACCTACATGGCAGCTCACAAGCATCCTGTTCCAGGGATCAGACGCCCTCCCACAGACATACATGCAGGCAAAACACTAATGCACATTAAAAGTGAATAAATAGATAGATAAATCAATAAGTAAATAAGGCTGGAGAGACGGCTCAGCGGTTAAGAGCACTGGCTGCCCTTCCAGAGGTCCCAAGTTCAATTCCCAGCAACTACACGGTGGCTCACAACCATCTGTGATCCAATGCCCTCTTCTGGTGTGTCTGAAGGTAGTGACAGTGTACTCATACATAAAATAAATAAATCTTTTCTTTATTAATTAACTGATTAATTTAAAAGAAAAGGATATTTAAAAAAATAAAGGAAGGAAGAAAAAAAATAAAAGGCTTCCCTTCCAAAGCCAGGGTAGTAGCATATACCTGCAATCCTAGCACCAGGGAGGCTGAGGCAGGAGGACTATGAATTGGTATCTGAACTAGTGAAATGCTGTCCTCGCCCCCTAAAAAAAGAGAGAGAGAGAAAAAAAACAGCAACAAAAGGGAGCCTAGCAGTGGTGTCTAGAATTCATCTGTTCACGCATCCCTCCCTTTCTAAGGATGAAAACTTAAAAACCTACCGGAAAACAGTGCTCAGTTACCAAGGTATGAAGCCGGTCATGGTCTGAGCTAGAAAAGAGAGAGAGAGACATTTATCATCGATTCCTACTTTTATGGTACCTTCTATGAAATCTGAAAATGGGCTGAAAAGAAGGCTTGGTAGGTAAAGGAGCCTGCCACGGAGCCTGCCACGGAGCCTGCCACGGAGCCTGCAAGCGGAGTTCAATCCCCAGAACCCACATGAAAAGAACTGACCCTTCAGGGGTTGGAGAGATGGCTCTGTCTGCTCTTCCAGAGGATCTGGGTTTGAATCCTAGCACCTACTTGGTGGCTCACAACCATCTGTTCTAGGGTGCCCTCTTCTAGTCTCCAAAGACAATGCATGCAAATGGTATATAGATATACACGCAAGCAAAACACTCATATGTAAAATATACATAAATCATTTAAAAAAAACAAAACTGACTCCTGAAATTGTCCTCTGACTTCTACATATGTGTCATCTGTGTTCTTATTCACACATACACAAACAAAGTATAATGAGAGAAAAAAATTTTATTTTAAGATTTATTTTATGTATATGAGTACATTGTAGCTGTCTTCAGACACACCAGAAGAGGGCATCAGATCCCTTTACAGATGGTTGTGAGCCACCATGTGGTTGCTGAGAATTGAACTCAGAACCTTTGGAAGAGCAGTCAGTGCTCTTAACTGCTGAGCCATCTCTCCAGCCCTGAGAAAAACATTTTTTTAACTTGAAAATGGTAGTGGTGCATGCCTTCACTTAGCAGGCAGAAGCAGGTGGATCTCTGAGTTCGAGATCAATCTGGTCTACAGAGGGAGTTCCAGGACAGCCAAGGCTACACAGAAAAAACCTGTCTCAAATAAGAAAAAAAAATTTTAAATTTAAAAACAGTCCTGAAGATAGAGAATTCATTTATATAAACATTTTCTGTATATGCACTATAAGTGACATGATATATTAATTTGTTAATTATCACAAAATCTTGACATTTAATAGTATTTAATACTTTATGTTTCTGGAGCAAGAAGAAATTTCTCTGAAATAACATTTTTGTTTGTCTGTTTGTTTGTTTTTCAAGAAAGAGCTTCTCTGTGTATCCCTAACTGTCCTAGAAATCATTCTGTAGTCCAGGCTGGCCTCAAATTTAGAGATCTGCCTGCCTCTGCTAAGATTAAGGTCATGTGCCACCACCGCCCGGCAGATCACATCGTTTAGGTGGCAGGACGTTCACTAGGACCTGGGCTGACTCTTGCTCTGCACTAGCAGAGGGAACAAAGTCCAACAGCAACAAGAACAACCAGTTCCTCCTCCTCGGTGCCAGCAACCGGCCTCACTGTGCACTGTCACCTTTGAACAGGTAAGGCATGGCCTTGTGTCTTTTCTGACCTCTCTCCCCATCTTCGGACTCCTGAAGTACAGGACATTGGACTTAGACCTTACGTCTCTTCAAAGAGTCTTGTGTCACCAAGGAAGGACTGGAAAGCCAGCCCACCAGGACACAGATGAAGGGCTTTCTCTGCTCAGATCTCAGTGTGAAGTAAAAATGAAAACTGAAGAAAGAAAGAAAGAAAGAAAGAAAGAAAGAAAGAAAGAAAGAAAGAGGGAAGGAAGGAGGAAGGGAAGGAAGGAGGGAGAGAGGGAGGGAAGGAGGGAAGAAGGAAGGAGACAGCCTCCTCCCTGGGCAGGGACTGTCACAAATGAACGTGCACAGGGACCATGACAGTCTGGGCACGATGGGACACATCCATGACCTCGCAGCAGCTGAGACTGCAGCATAAAGTCAGGCCAGTCAACATTCTAAAATGGCTCGGGGCAGAGCTCAGAAGCTCTATCCCTAACTGAGGATCTAGGGATAGTTAATGGATTCTGGGGGGGGGGGGGGCGAGAATGAGTTTCCACTAAGGGTAGGTCAACTACACTGCAGTGCATGGCCTAGGCTCACGCATATATACAGGCAGCCCAAACTGAACTTGGCGGGCTATCCATAACAGGGGTAGCAATAGGAGGGGGATCTGGGAGGAGTCAGAAAGACCAGTGTGGGATGAACATGGCCCAATCCTCAAAACATTAATAATAACTTTTTAAAAAAAAGAAAATCAGGGGCTGGACAATCAGCTCAGTGGTTAAGAGCACTGACTGCTCTTCTAGACTTCCTGAGTTCAATTCCCAGCAACCACATGGTGGCTCACAACCATCTGTAATGGTCTGATGCCCTCTTCTGGTGTCTGAAGATGACAGTGTACTCATATATGTAAATCAATCAAACAAACAAACAACAACAGCAAAAAAAACAAGAAGCAAATCTTTAAAAAAATATATTTAAAAAAATAATAGTTCAAGGAAAAGCTGGGATACATTAAGAGATCCTCCTCCTAAAAGTGAAACCAAGCCCCTCGTAGTGGGCATAAACCTTTAGTCCGAGCAGGTGGAGGCAGAAGCAGGCCTTGTGAGTTTGAGGCCAGCCTGGTCTACATAGAGAGTTCCAGGATTGCCAGGGCTACCAGAGAAACCCTGTCTTAAACAACAATAGCAACAAAAACTACTGGAAAAGCATGGAGAAAAGAAGAACCATCTTCAGTTACTACTTCTCACATTAGAAAGTTCTAGAATCTTTACCTGAAGAAAAAGGGGGAAGGGGACCGTGCCTAGAATAGCAGCGGAGGATACTGAGCACACATAAAGATGGGGCGTCCACTTACTTGTTTAGACAAAGATGAGCTTCGATGAAAATATCCTTAGCTATTTCAGGGAAGTCTTTTGTTTTAAAATTAGCATCAAATTCTTTTATCTTTCGAATTCTGTAAAATTAAGCAAGAAAACCATCATAAAGATGACGTCACAGCAGATAAAGGTGCATACCACCAATCAATACAACCTGAGTTCAGTCTTAGGCACTTACACAGTAGAAGGAAAAGACTTATTCCCGCAAGCTGTCCTAACCTCCATATTTGTGCTGTGGAAGGAGCTGCTAGCAAGTACACACAAACAAATAAATAAACTGCAACAGAGTTATGAAATCTTCATATAATCTCCATAACTCACAGTTCACACTAATCCTCTATGTCCACCTTCTGATTCAATAATCACTGTCTGAATGTGTCTAGACTATAAATTCAACTCTCTCTCACATTAAATGTAAAAAAAGAACAAGCAGGCCAGGGTGCAGTGGTGCATGGGTGGTGCCTTGAAGAGGGGAGGCACCAGGGTTATGGTAGCAAAAAAAAAAAAAAAAAAAAAAAGAGAGAGAGAGATAGAGACAAAAAAGGATTGGGTTTTCTTTCGTCTGAAGATTCAGAGGCTAAGGGAACATAGTGCTCTTGCAGAGGACCTGGGTTGGTTCCCAGAACCCTTATCAGGCAGGTTATAACTGGCACTAACTGCAGCTCCAGAGGACCCAACACTGTGGCCTCAGATGTCTGCAAGCAGTTGTACACACCCACCTACAAACATAGACATAATGTAGAATAAACCTTAAAGGGAAAAGGAAAAAAAAAATTAAGTGGAATTTTAGAATTAAAGAAAACACTCAGGCCAGGCGGTGGTGGCACACGACTTTAATCCCAGCACTTGGGAGGCAGAGGCAGGCAGATTTCCGAGTTCGAGGCCAGCCTGGTCTACAGAGGGAATTCCAGGACAACCAGGACTACACAGAGAAACCCTGTCTTGGACCCCCCCCCCAAAAAAAAAGGAAAAAAAAAAAAAGAAAATGTAGGACGAGAAAAGCAATCATGATGAACTCTATGGCCCAGCTGTCAGAACATGTGCATAGATATAATAACATCAACTGACAGAATCAAACTGGCAATAGACTGAAACAAGGAGCACCAGGAGCAAGTGAAACTGATTCTAAGAATGTAAGATTGTTCTACCACTAAAAGTCAATGTAGTAGCCCAGCTTGGTGGCATACTCTTCTAATTCGAGCCCTCAGGAGGCAGAGGCAAGCAGATCTCTATGAATGCAAAGCTAAGCTGATCTACACAGTGACTTCCAGGCCAGCCAAGGCTAAAACAAGCTGCTTGTGGTGGCACATGCCTTTAATCACAGCACTAGGGAGGCAGAGGCAGGGGTTCTTTGAGCTCGAGTCCACCCTGGTCTACAGAGCAAGGTCTAGGACAGCCAGGGCCATACAGAAAAACTCTGTTCTGAAAATAAATAAATAAATAAATAAATAAATGTAAAACCAGGGGAAAAAAAAAGTCAATGTATCAACCATGTCAAGCACCATGCCTAATGATAGGCATGCCAGTGCTCAATAAGTTGAGAAAAGAAGATCACCACGTTCAAGGCTAGCCTAGACTATACAGCAAGACTTTGACTCTACTTTAGGGTCTGGAGCGATGGCTCAATGGTTAAGAGCACTTGCTGCTCTGGCAGAGGACTGGGTTTGGTTTCCAGCACCTAACCTATATGACCACTCAAGCACATCTAACTACAGCTTTAAGAGATCGGATGCCTTCTTTTGGCCGCCACAGGCACTGCACACTTGTGATACACTTACTTACATGAAGGCAAAAATACATAAAAATAAAAAGACAGGAAAATCAATATGATATACCATATAATGCAATAAGAACCAAATATCACATGTTCTTCTCAGCCCAGAATATTGAAGCCTAGTTGTCTCGGACACCTACGCCAGCTGTGATGCCACGTTCCTTCGTAATCGCTCAGTTCTCTGCGTCAGTCCTTCCTTTGAAAGAAACGACATTCGAGCATCACCCTCTGGTGGAACATAGGGATCAAATATACCAGCTGTGGGGAGAGAAGAAAATTAAGAAATCGTTGAAAGACTGAGACCACATCATCTTGCGGTCAGATAAAACTGGGAAGGACACGGGCCACAAAGTGGACTAATCAAACAGACTTGCACATAGAGGAAACTTTGTTAAACTTGTGCAAGTACCAGGAACTAAGTGTTGCAGAATTGGGACATCTTTTGTTATACTGAGAGAGGAGAAAAAAAAGGGAGAAGAAAAAAAACAAAGAAAAGAACGAGTAATTTAACTTCTCCTAGAGTCTGTTTCTACTTCTACAAACTGGAGAAATTTCATTCATTCTAGAAGTTATAAAAACAAGATCAAAAAATGATTTCATGAGCAGAACTAGTGGTACAGCCCTAAGTCTCGACTACCCTCCATGCAGGGGGATCCACCCGTCTCAGAGGCAAAGAGTGGGAGAAAGGGGTAGCACTCAGTGGAGACTGCTTACTTAGCTCTGTATTTAACCCCAGGCTCTGTAAAAACAAAACTGACTTTATGAAATACAGTATATGTAAATAAATCATTACTGAGGTCAAACTTAGTGGTTAACTTTATTTATTTATTTATTTATTTATTTATTTATTTGGTTTTCTTCGAGACAGGGTTTCTCTGTGTACTCTTGGCCGTCCTGGAACTCACTCTGTAGACCAGGCTGGCCTCAAACTCAGAAATCCGCCTGCCTCTGCCTCCCAAGTGCTGGGATTAAAGGCATGTGCTACCACCGCCCGGCTTATCTTTTTTTTTTTTTTTAAAGATTTATTTACCCTTTAATCCCAGCACTTGGGAGGCAGAGGCAGGAAGATTTCTGAGTTTGAGGCCAACCTGGTCTACAGAGTGAGTTCCAGAACAGCCAGAGCTACACAGAGAAACCCTGTCTCGAAAAACCAAAAAAAAAAAAAATTATTTATATGAGTACACACTGTCACTGTCTTCAGACACACCAGAAGAGGGCATCAGATCTTAGATCCCATTACAGACGGCTGTGAGCCATCATGTGGTTGCTGGGAATTGAACTCAGGGCCTCTGAAAGAGCAGTCAATGCTCTCATCCACTGAGCCATCTTTCCAACTCCACTTAGTGGTTAATTTAATTCTGTCAGTCAGAGTCTAAAGCATTCTAAACGCCACACCTCTGACAGTAGAAAAGTGAATCAGGATCCCAGAAACTGTTCTTACCTGTACAGGCCAAGTGTATAGGACGCTCCAACCGTTCCTGTGGAATAACCAATCCCGCTTTCCTGGCATATTCCAAAAACTCCTTCTCTGTTCTGTACTTGGGTTCAGAAGTCGGGGGTCTGAAACGGCTTTTGTTTTTAACTGGAACTACAGCTGTGGACCAAGTCACCAGAATAGGCTGAGAGATTTAAAAAAAAAAAAAAGTTGGCATATAGGTGATTTGGAAAGAATCAATCTACCTTGAGCAATCTGTGGAAATGACATACTCAAAGAATGCTTCCGATGTTATGAAATAAGTATTATGGAGAAACAATATTACTACTTGAACACCTAGGGATGGCTTTTACCACAAGCCAATTAATAACCTGCATTAACACTTACTAAAAACTTTCAGTTTTGCATCAGTCAACACTTACTAAAAACTTTCCTTTAATACATTCTGGAGTACTGCTGTATGCATAGATGATTAAGTCGAAAGTCCTACCGTCAAAGAACTTTTAGTTTAATAGTGAACCGTAGTTATCAACTCAATTCTGAAGACAGTGGAATGCTATTTCTAAAGCATTAAGCAAGATCTCCCGGGCATTTCCTCCACACTTCTATTTTGCTTTTTCAGAAGCAAATCGCTTCTAGCTCCTAACTGACGAATAAACTTTTATGAAGCCAGGTAACCTTTCCCCTCCAAGATAAGACAAAACCCTTATCCTTTCCAATTTTTTAAAAAAAGAATATAAAAGAAGCGGGTTCATCTTACAAGCCACTACTTTCCATTTAACATCTCGCCAGACTCTAGAATTAATGTAGAGAAGCTTAATGTCAGGAAACTTAAATCTCCCTCAAGGCCCAGTCTAGGCAGTCTAGAGGCTTAGGGGTAATCACATACACCCCAAATTCTTCCGCTAATGAAGTCTGACTCGTATCGTCCAAACTCAGGAACGGCCACAGGATGATTATTCCCTTCTACTCTATGCTCCTCTTTCTGTCCCTAACATTCAATTCGCTCCGTCCCTACCCACCTGCCGAGACCACCATCCCAAAGTCCTGGATAAGGAGGACAAGCACCGAGGTATGGGGGCTGCCATTTTGCTCACGCAAAGGCCGCCGGGATGCTAGTCGAGCTGCAGAGCACTGAGCCAGAGAAAAAGCGCAGAAAGGGTGGAGCGAGCTCGGGAGTGGAATTTTCCAGGGCGCGCGCCCTCGGCCGAAAGGTGAGCCGCGCGCACGCGCACGCTCTCATGGGGGAGGGACGCACGAGCACGCGCAATGGGTTCGCGCGTGCGCAGTGAAACCGCTTTGGAAGTAGGGTAAACCGCACGGCTGTCACGCGCCAGCCGGAGACTGGTGGAGAGCCATCTGCGCCTGCGCATGAGGCTTTCTGTGAGACTGGTTGCTGCATTCCTGGTTACTTAGCACATTGTTACACCTTATTTACATTCGGTTAAAAAAAAATAAATGAAGAAATGCTTCCCTCTGAAATCAGAGGCCTTTGAGATAAGTGTTTTCTTTCATTACTTGGAATTCACTGGATGTATTTAGGACGAAAATGATAGTTTCTGGGTGTGTATCTGACCTCAAAACGCAGTATAACCTTAAACCTTTAACCAACCTAGTTTTCTATGTGAAAATTCTTTCTTACCGTTCTGTTAGGGAAACTGACCGCTATGATTACTGAAAAGCAAAAGGCACGTGGGTTGACAAGAATCTGTCATTTCCCAAAACATATCTTTTCCAAAAATACCACTTACCAAATTTGGTAATAACTGGTATTTCAAAATTGTTTACTAGGCAACTGACAATTTAAGCATTTTACATATATCAAACTTAATCCTCACCACAAGTAATAAATATTCCTGCTTTTACATATGTGGTTGGGCCAAAGATACTAAATACGTAATTCAAATTTAGACAAATAGTAACTGGCAAAACTGAGAGTCAGGTCCATAGAGTGTAACAAGTCCAAAATCGCTTCATGTTCAGTGGTTAAAGGAATTCCAATGTGGTAATCGGATCATCCTGGAGCCACACAGACTAGGTCACACATCCTAACTCCTCTCTGCCTGACCAAGGCTCAGTTTCTCAGCTATCGAAAGCTAATAACTTATCAGCCCAGATGAAATAAGAGTATTCAATATGGTTTCATTCACTCTGAGATGGATTATTGGTGATCACTGTTACTTTGGATTAGCTGTTTCGCAAATTTTTGTATTAACCTTCTACCTCAGTAAATCCAGTAAGTAGCTGTCTGCTAAGGACATCACACCAACGAATGTTTCTTAATCCTCCAACATTTAATGATTTGCATTTCTCAGAATGTAGGATAAAAAGAATTTGCCCCATGCTTCCATCAACAGCACATACTCTAAAATTGGAATAACAGAGACCACATGGTCCCAGCACAAGGATGACAGGCAAATAAATACATGAAGCACTCCATGGTTTTATCGCCAGGATGAGTTTTCTACAGATATATTTCTTTCTTCAGTTCATACATTTCTAAGTGTGCCCAGATCCTGCCAACCTCACTGGTTCTACTGGTATTTAAATATGTACTGCTAAGCTTAGCTTTTCTCTTTCTTTTTTTTTTCTTTTAAATGTATGAGTGCCCTGCTGAACGTACATCTGCAGGCCAGAGGGCATCAGATTCCCTTTTAGATAGTGGTGAGCCACCACGTGGTTGCTGGGAACTGAACTCAGGACCTCTGGAAAAGCAGCCAGTGCTCTTAACTGCTGGGCCATCTCACCAGTCTACTAAGCTTAGTTTTTTAAAACCTGCTATATCAAGACTTTATTAATCATCTGTTGCTAAAAACAAACAAAAAACAAACAACAAAAACTCTTTTCAGCACTTGGGAGGCAGAAGCAGTGGATCTCTGTGAGTTCAAGGCCAGCTTGGTCTATAGAGAGAGTTCCAGGACAGCCAGGGCTACACAGAGAAACCCTGCTTCAGAAAAAATAAACAAAATAAAACAAAGAAAGAAGAGAAAATAGAGGGTAAAGAGATGGCTCAGGGGTTAAGAGTCCTTGCTGCTCTTGCAGAGGATCCAAGTTTAGTTTCCAGCACCCACATGGTGACTTGTATCCCCCTGTAACTCCAACTCTAGGCCATCTGATGCCCTCTTCTGGATTTGGAGGGCACTACACACATCTTGTATACAGATAAAGATACATAGATCAGGTTGGAGAGATGGCTCAGTGGTTAAGAGCACTGACTGTTCTTCCAGAGGTCCTGAGTTCAATTCCCAGCAACCACATGGTGGCTCACCATTATCTAAAAGGGAATCTAATGCCTCTTCTGGTGTGTCTGAAGACAGTGACAGTGTACTTGTCATATATATAAATAAATCAAATCTTTTTAAAAATACACGCAAATAAACACCCATATACACTTTAAAAATCTCTTAAACAACAGTGAAAAGGAACCCAGTTTTTTCTAGTGAGATTTTCAAAGTGAACCTAAAGACTAGGAGTCCTTGCTAGCAGCAGGCCGTATATACACATGTATGTGTACATGGATGTATATGTACAGACACACACAAGAGACTAAGTTGCATATTTAATATACCAAAGCAGACCTAGCCTCCAGGTTCTCCCAGAATCCATCAGTCCTTACCTGTTACAGGGCATGGGTAGCATATTCTACCTTCTATGTTGAAATTTCTAGCCCAGGGGCTAGACTTCCTCTCACTCAGAGGCTCTTCACTTTTTGGTTCTTTCTCTCTCTCTCTCTCTCTCTCTCTCTCTCTCTCTCTCTCTCTCTTCCTTTCTCTCTCTGTCTCTGCAAGCACTTTTTCTCTCTCCCCTCCCCTGTCTCCCTCTCCAATGGAGGCTCACTCACATCATAACTCAAGTTCCAGGGGATCTGATGCCCTCTTCTGACCTCTGCAGCCACTAGCCAAGCACCCAGTATACAGACATACATGCATAAAAAACATACACATTAAATTAAATATATAGATACATGAAGTTGGGTGTATCTATGTGTATCTATAATATCAACACTGGAAAGTGGTTATCTTGAGAGTTTGATGGCCAGCCAGTCCAGCCAAAAGGACAAACTTTTGAATCAGGAAGAGACTGTCTCAAGATAATACTTTTGAGAGCAATAAAGACTCTGAAGTCAGCCGGGCGGTGGTGGCGCACGCCTTTAATCCCAGCACTCGGGAGGCAGAGGCAGGCGGATTTCTGAGTTCGAGGCCAGCCTGGTCTACAGAGTGAGTTCCAGGACAGCCCGGGCTATACAGAGAAACCCTGTCTCGAAAAACCAAAAAAAAAAAAGACTCTGAAGTCTTGCTCTGACCTCTGCAGGAGCACACATGGGCTGCACAGTGATGTGTGTGTTACACACATACACGTATCCCATCATCTACACATACAAACAAACATACACGTCACACACACACACATACAATTTGATTTTTGCTTTTTAGGGTTTTCTTTTGAGATAGGGTTGCCGGGCGGTGGTGGCACATGCCTTTAATCCCAGCACTTGGGAGGCAGAGGCAGGCGGATTTCTGAGTTTGAGGCCAGCCTGGTCTACAGCGTGAGTTCCAGGACAGCCAGGGCTACACAGAGAAACCCTGTCTCAAAAACCAAAAAAGAAAAAAGAAAAAAAGAGAGAGAGAGATAGGGTTTCTCTGTGTAGTCCTGACTTGTCTTGGAACTTGCTCAGTAGTCCAGGCTGGCCTCAAACTCGAGATGGCCTCCCTGCCTCTGCCTCCTGGGAGTAGAGGCAAGTCCCATCACCACCCAGCTCAGGTTTTATTTATTTTGGGGGGGCGAGGTTTCGAGATAGGGTTTCTCTGTATAGCCCTGGTTGTCCTGGAACTCACTCTCTAGATCAGGCTGGCCTCAAACTCAGAAATCTGCCTGCCTCTGCCTCCCAAGTGCTGGGATTAAAGGCATGTGCCATCACTGCCTGGCTCAGGTTTTAGTTTTTAAATTGGAAGTTCTGAAATTTCTCTGAGTGACCTACATCTGGAAGAACAGCTGATTTACACAGCAACATTTTCCCAGAGTGTTAGAAGAATCTGATTCTAAATAAGATGATCCATGGATTACTACAGATAATTACTGCTTGGGAAATTGTCCTTCTCTGACATATGGGTGAGCATGAAGAGAAAGGACTTATCCAAGCAGGTGCCACAGAGGAAACAAGAATGGCAACCTCCTAGCCGATACTCTTAACTAATTTTCGCTAACAACATTAGGAACGCTTCTTTGTCACCCAGGCTAACTCCCTGTGGTTCTCACAAGAGCTTAGGGATGTGATAGTTCTTGACACAGCATCTTGGCCACACCTGATTCTCATCCATACAAAGGTGGTAATTCCATACCTAAATTACAGAATCATTAATTCCTTAAAAATCAAATGTGTTCCACTCTGGTTAGTTATGGCTCCTTCTTCCAAGCCTGCTGATATACCAGAAAGCATCTGTACAAGGAGCCTGGTAGGATCCTTAGAAGTGTAGCTGCTCCTTATGTTGGACACAGAAGAGAGATATCTTTGTCCTAGCAGCCACTCCAGTGCAGTGTCCCTAAACAAGAAATTTCCAGATATGAGCTGGCTCCTCAGGGAAACGTAGCATGCAGTTCTCATCTCTGCTAACACTTAGCCACAGGAACACAGGAAGTTTCCAATGGCCCAGAGCGATTCCTTATGTCAGCGCTGCAGAACTTCTCAAAGATGCCTTTCTTTTTGCTCTATCTTTCCACTCTCCTTTCGCTGCTGGAGACTGAGCCTTTGCCTTTGTGCTTGTCCTAGATTCCTCTTTCCAAAGGCATGTTCCAGGAGAGATATTATTTATCCTGGCTCAACCAGGAAAGAAGCTCATACTGCTCGAGAGGTCTAGAATTTATCCCTAGTCTCCCCTTGCTCCACTTTCTCCCAGCTGGCTAAAGCAAGCAATAATCCTAAAAGGGAATTTCAGACTGTTCGTGACTCTGTTTGTGACTCTCTCCCTCCACCCCACTCCACACTGCACACAGCAGTGTTTAGGGAGGAGAGGGCAAAGCCCTAGGACCAGAGTAATCTGTTTCTAACCCACTTCCAATCTCAGGGATTACTTGTAGGGGGAGGGAGAGGGAAAGAGAAATAAATCAAAGCCTTAGTGCTGGGAAGGGAGGAGGAGGAGGCTCCAGCTAGGCTCTGGAGGGCTTTAGGCACCGGATTCCAGGAGTCTGGGAGCTCCCACCCTTCCCAGGGCCCGCAGGCT